CTCCACTAAATTAGAAGTATTTTTTGTGCTCCTTTGTATAAAATTATATTGAATGTAAAAAAGCAAAAGAAAAGAAAGGTGTTTTATTTTTCAATTTTATTCTATCAATATTTATATCGTGATTTGAAATTAAAATTATCAGTTATGAATATTAATAAGTAATATTCATAAATTTTGCGGTATATAACATTATTCTTGATAAAGTTGCCATTGACGCAAGCGAATGCCAATTGAAAGACTTATAAAGCGATAAAACGATAATTTGTAGTTGTTTTTGATTAATTTAGTCTTTAGAGCTATATTTTTGAAGAATATTTGATAAATTATTCTTTTAGCTTAGTTCTAAAACTACTCGTATAATCGCAAGCATTTATGTTATACAGGGTGTTTCAAAAAACATGTACCATCTCTCGTTCCTCACGTAAAAATATGGTATATTTTTCATATCAACATAGGTCCGATTCTGCTTTGTTTTGTAGCTACAGGGTGTTAGAGTCTTAATAATCTTTCGAGTTATTATAATATTCTTCCAAGTACTTTTAGTGATTCGAATGAAATTTTTGGGGTAAAAGTTACTATAAGTGTTACATATTCTAATGCTAAAAAGGCGTCAATAAACTTATCAGGGACGTGCATATGGGTTATCACTGGAATATTTAAAAAAAAACATGTGCGCCACTGACTTTTTCTTTTGATGTCACAATTTCGTAGGCCGTTTAATGCCAATTAAATGATATCTCTTGATATTTTGTCCAATTCGGCCTCCTTGATGAGATAAACGCAAATTTATTAATCACAATCAATAAAAATAAAATTAATAAATTATATATTTTACCTAATTTATTATGAAATATTAGTTATTATTACTATTAATTGAACGTACAGCAGTTTCAAATAAAAAATAGTGGCATTTAAGATAATTACAAAAAAAAATAATTTTAAAAAGTTTTAACATCCTGTAACTCTAAAACTATGCATTTCCATACCCATGTTTATAGAAACTTTTTTTCATATTTTTTGATGAGGAATCAATGAGTACATGTTTAAAACTTTCATGATATTAAAAATTTTTAAAGGTTGCTATTGACTTGGATCAAGGCAAATTAATAAAATTGCGTTTATCTCATCAAGGAGGCCGAAATCGACAAAATATCAAGAGATAACTTTTAATTGGCATTAAATTGTTTACACTATTTTGCTAACAAGAGAAAAAAAAGTCAGTGGCGTGCATGCTTTTTTAGAAAAATATTCCAGTGATAACCCATATGCACGTCCCTGTTCCAATAAATCGAAAAAAAAATCAAAAACATTTCAATAGAATCAGTAAAAGTATTTGGAAGAAAATTATAATAAATCGGAAGATTATTAAGACTTAACACCCTGTAGCTACGTAACAAAACAGAATCGGACCTATGTTGATATAATAAATAAAAATAATAATATATGATAATAATAATAAACTTTTTTCATTCGGCATTTCGTATTAAGGTTGTTTAATAAGTTGTTAGAATCGCACAGTAAACACAAACATTTGGCAATACAGATTTATTACAAGGTCATTGAATTGATGCAACACAATTGCAAGAAGATTTGCTATGTGTTACCTGTAAAAGGTATTTAGTATATTGTATAAAAAAAGAATGTCATTGTAATCATATTAAGATATGACAACAAAAATTTTCCTATCCATTGGAAAGTCTCATGTACCATATATTTCATAAAATTTAAGAGGCACGTCTACTATCTAGATACGCTTTTAAGAGAATGAGAATAGAGCTATAAGCGTTATTGATGAACTATTAAATGAACTAATAAGATATTGTTACAGTTATGTAGCTCATAAAATTTGGTCTTAATAGTGTCATAAAGTTATAAATACGTTATTGTTATTGCCCCCATTCGATTTAGAGCTTTCGTTTTGTTAGAACTTAGAAGGAATAATGGATATACAATATTTAAAGGGCAATTTAATATTACTTTCAGACTTATAAGTGTTATGAAACACACAAATTTTAAATTATGAAAAACCAGTATTAATATACGCATATACAAAATATAAAGCCACAATATTATGCATTTATGTATCTTAAGCTCCGTCTACACATAACCTTGTTCAGTCTAAACGTACCATCAGGTCTACCAACTTGGCGAGTGTCCCAAAAGTTCTAAAATTCAAAAGGTATTCCTATGGAAATATCATTTTGATTGCATTTTTTGATAGATGGTTATTATTAATTTTGATTAACGTCATATTTTTTTGCTGTTGTTAAAGTAAATGTGTTCGTTAAAGTAAAGTGTGTAATTTTGTGCTTCTTTAACGTTTTAGAACAGCAAAATATATGACGTTAATTAAAATTCTACCAATAATAACCTATCAAATCATGAAAATGAAATTGTATTCTTTTTCGTGGAAAAAGTTATCAAACTTTTAACTTTTTCACTACACTTCAAAATTTGCGTGAAATGGCATTTTGGCATTTGATTATCTTCCGTCAAGAGAAATTGTGGTTATAAATCAAAAGATGACTGTTTTATAAGCAGGGTGTATTCCGTTGCTTACCTTGGTTATGGTTTTATGTTCCGATTCTATCGGTTTCCCTTTGAATAAGAAGACTAAGGAAGGAGCATAATGCTATCCATGTATTCATGCATGGTGGGCGGAAAAAGGACTCTAGGGTGGGGATCCTTGACAGTTCTGTTTGACGATTCATTTGACACATTTGAATTTGATTTGAAATTTTGTGGATTTGTCAGTCTTTACGGAGCTTATTTTATGTTATTTATTATTTATTCTACTACTGATAGTTGTATAAAGATAGTACATCTAGATGGAAATTGTGGCAGAACTTAAATTAACAGTGACATTATCGCGATTTATCGAAAAAGACTCTAAAATAGTTGGTTGTGTAGTGTTCGGTAGATCTCGGCAAAAATCGAGTGAAATATTGGAACAACTTTTTGCTAGTAAGTGACTATACATATAATATACATATTTTGCAAAAAAATTAATTTGGATAGTTTAGTTTGTTTAGAAACTTTTTTATCTCTTGTATTTTTTTTATAAAACTCACCGATTTGAAATTAAAAAATAAAATGTAAAGCATTACATGTCAGGACTAAAAATATTTTTAGATTAAGAATCTAGTGATAATAATGATAATAATAATAATCTAGATAATAACGTATTGCAGTAGGGTAATGTCAAATAAAACAATATTAGAAACATCCTAAAAAGTGACAGCGGCGGACTAGATTTTTTCCTAAAAAAATTACAGCTACCCACTAGATTCTTTATCTAAAAATGTTTTTGTCCTGACATGTAATGCTTTACATTTTATTTTTTAATTTCAAATCAGTTGAGTTTTATCAAAAAAACACAAGAGATAAAAAAGTTTCTAAATAAACTAAACTATCAAAATTAATTTTTTTTGCATGTGTTTGATAAGATTTTTCTTTAAATTTCATTAACAAGAATGATAGGGGTAGTTTCCAACTTCTTCCACTCATTTTAAAAAAGTGAAAAAATTACCAGAAAGTGTGTTTTCATAACAGTAATGCTTCCGTAAAATTTCATTAGTCTATCTCTTTTCGTTTTCAAGATAAAAAATAAAAACATTATTTTTCCTCCATCTTTGTACCGCGATATCTCCCTAATGGTTGACTTTTGACCCAACGTTTATAAAGCAAACTACCCTTTATTTTGAACAAGGAATCACCACCTGAAGTTTTTCGCATTTGTTTTGAAACACCCTGTATATTTTTTCTTGCATTTTTGCTTTTATTTACCACTTATCGAAGATTAGATGTCAAAGAATTTAGATACGTCAATTTGACTTACCTGCTTCAGTAGCGTATCGGATGTTTATGGTTATAAATAATTATTATAACTTATCTATTTTTATTATAATTTTATATTTTTATCAACAATTTTAATAACTACCTATTTATTCACAACGTAAAATAAAAAAAAATATTGAGTCTACCCCACGTCTACCCTACATCATAGTTTTACATTTTGTAAATAAAATTAGAACGGCACTGATAAACCGAAATTTAAGTCGGCCATATTTGAGGCCCATCGCGGTGTACCTAAAATTTTTGATATGCTCCTTCCTTAGTCTTCTTATTCAAAACGGTTTCCTGAAAGTTTTCTTATTACGGAACACGGTTCCTGAACAATTCGGTTATAACTGTAACCAAACTAACCAGCGCGAGAAGGCTGGTTTTTCTGGTTTTGTTTGTCAATGTCATTTATGTGACAGAAATCAAGCAAATATTGGAAGTTCGAGTGAAATTCTCATTTAATTTCTAAAATTTGTAATAATATTTTGAATTTACATCCAAAACCACTGGAGGTAGGCAGTAAAGGTAAATAAATTTCATTTACTAAATAGAATGACTTTTTAGGACCATTTAAACTTATCATGCAGCCATTGGTTCTTAAAGTCAGGAACATTTAAAGAAAACATGAAAAACAAGACAAGTAAAAGATTTGTTTATTTATTATTGATCTGTTTTAATATTAGACCTGCAAATCTTCACTTGAGCTGTCTAACGAGTTTAACAGTTTGTTAATAAAGTACTTTTCAATATTAAATTCCATTGAAAAGAAGAAGCGAACGTAAAAGCAGAGAATGGGTACATTAAAAATGCATAAAAGATAAATTTTATATCTAACATTTGACGTTTTCAGTATTTTACCAAAGCGTTCCGTATCAAACCGATGTTTTTCAGGGACCGCTCTTTACCGTAGTTTACCGGTCTGGTTCGCCTGGTTTTGCAACGGAATACAGCCTAAATATCAGATTAAATATATCAACAATTACATTGAGATAATGAGATTTAAAAAGCAGCCTTTTTAAGTGTTAGAAGAATAGAGAAATTTGGTTATATAGTTTGTTACAAATATTTTTTCCGGAACCTATAAAACTGGACCTTATTAGTTTTAAAGATTTATTTGATGTGAAATAATTTTACCTATGATGTATTTTGTATTACAGATCTCTGGCTGGCCAGACTGATATGGAGCACTAGCGACGATGCGCGTCCCCACCCCCTCCGAGCCGAAGCGTAACACATTTCCTACCTACCAAGTGCCTCAAGAGTCAGCCATGAGGGGCCGCGCACCCCGCCCAGTACAACCGCAGCAGCAGCAAGAAGAAGAAGCAGTAGTAGTCGCTGGGGTGAGGCGGGGGGGTCGAGCCGACCCCCCGCCACCAGCCCCGGACGCCCTAGCCGCCGCCCTCGGCAGCCACGGCGTCGCCCCGTCTGTGATAATCGGCTCTAGTTGCGGCCCCCTCCTCGGCCCCAACTCTAACGCTAAGCTTCAATCTGTGACCGAAAATTATTGTCTTCTGAACTCTATCACCGTACCAAAAATACAACGTAATGACCGTGGGCGCGATGGTGGCGCCACGGTCGCCAACAATAATAATAATAATATTGATACTAATGTAGATAGCGATAAGTTATTAGGCGATAGTAGTAAGTTTGGTGCTTTGCCCCTCAACGGACGAGACATTCCCAACCAAAAGTCTGAAGACCTCCAAGTACTCGACGACAAAGACGACGACGACCTCAATGCACTCATCACGCCGAATGGAACTGCGAAAATCTGCGATAACAACGACAAGGACGGAGGCTCTGCTAGAAACCAAGCCCCGTGTTATAAGTACGTTATTTGCTTTCTTATTGGGTATTACTGATCAAACATAAAATAACTATTTTCATTAATAAATATACAGGGTTGTTCACCACATACGACACGGAGTATTGTAGCTAAACGATGAGATTTTTACAAATTGTAAGTTTTGGGTTCGATGAAGGACAATTTAAAAATAATTTTACAAGATACAAAGTGTCCCAAATAAGTAAAAAATATCAAAGTTGTATTTTTTTTAAATGGAACACCCTGTATATTATTACATTTTTAGTTTCTACGATTAAAATAAAGGTAAATTTGAAGTGAATTTAAGGTTTATTATACTTAAACCTTACCGTTTTTGAAATATTTTCAATTTTGTGAAATTGCAGTAAAAATTTTAAGGCTTCATTTCTCCAAGGGAAATGGAACCCCTGTATTATTGTACCAAACCTTCCTCTCATTCTTTGCGTTAAAGCATTTCCAACCCTTTGCAAAGTTCCCGATGTCGCTGATGTTGGCTTCTGCTGCTTCCTCTAGTCCCTCCAAAAAAAACCTTGCCCTAAAGTTTTAAAGCGTCGGTATTCCAGTGTCGGACAGTGGCACAGCAGGTGCTCTATAGTTTCTTCTTCCTCTGCAGTAGTCGTCGTTGGAAATCTTCCATCTCACGAGGTTTACCTCCGTGGGACAGTTTCCAGTGATGACACAGTTATGCGTACTAAGTTCTTTTTGTGCTTTAGTAGTTGTGTCTTTTTGCTCTCTATCACTGGCCACAGTCTTCGAGCTGTAGCGCAGTCCTCACGGTGTAGCCACGTCTCTTACTGTATGGCCTTGATGGTAGCTTCCTTCAGTGTGTTGATCGTCACAAGTGGTGTGCCAGCTGCCACGGCATCTCCTCCGGCCCCCTCTTTGGCGAGTCGATCTGCTTCTTGGTTGCCGACCATATTGCTGTGGCCTGGCACTCAGGACAGTGTGGCCCCGCCTTGACGCTGCCAGGACAGTGCTTCTCGGCAGTCCATCACAGGTTTCAATCTCACTGATTGCATGGTGATGCTTCTTAAAGCGCCCAAGCTGTCAGAGTATATCACGATATCTCCTATTGGTCTATCAGCGATTTCCCTCGTATACAACTGGCCGTTTCTTCTTCCGATTGACTGAAATGGCTTCGTCTGTCAATGCCTTCAGCTGCCTATTAAGCTTGCAATGTCCCGTTCACAACCTACTACAGTTTTTCTGTTATTGGGTTGGCCTGACGTAAAATTTAGACTAGTGTTCTAATACCAGGTGTATCGCCTGCCTCTGTCCTGGCTAGTTTTCCCACAAGTGTATTAATTTGTTAACTACTGATTATGTTTTATTACAGAAAGATTTAGACATTGTTTTGACTCTCTAAAACATTTAAGAGTTTTTTGTTGGAAATTAATCTTTAATTTACCTCAGCAATTAGTCATTTTACTACAGTTTAATAGTCTCTCGAAGTATTCCACATTTTATTGGAGCGATTACTTAATTTAGTTTCATTCCCATGTCGATCATTTTTAATCACGTCTACACAACTAATAAACCTACAACCTTTCTTCTTTCTTTCGTGTCTCTGTTTGTTAACTGGTTGGTATGTTAGCCAATTCATATATTCGTTTTAATCGTTGAAATATAAACTAGATGTTTATGCTCAAAAGACTTACATTTTCTTTGCATTGTTGGTTGCATATTTTGTGACAGTTCACAAATAGGGTATAAACTTTTTGATAACTACTATTAACCTTTTTTACGTTTAATAAAATGTTGCACAAAACGTTCTTCAAGAACAAACCTTCTAAACGAAAGCTTCGCTTTTTGCGTGTGGGAATTCAATAAATCGTGACTACTAAAGTAAGCCATTCATCCTATCTGTTTATCTATCGCTCTTCGGATCGACGTTCTCGAGTGTAGAGAAGCGTTTTATGGTTTATTAATAACTTGAGGCCAAACATTAGATTTGTACTTGATAATTTCAATATAGAAAACAAAAACAGTACTTTAATACAATATGTTCGAGAAAAAAACGGTGTCAGCGATGGCTATGAAATGAAGATCGTTGTCATTAATTAAATGGTGAATTTCTTTTTCTTTTCGATTATACGGTACAATAGATAAGAAAGGTTCTCAAGAGACTAAAACGAAGGTTTCTAACTTCAACTTAAGCGGCCCATACATTATCAAACAAATTGCGCAACAAAGCGATGCGCAACGTTGCGTTGCACAACTGATTCAGCGGTCCATACACTATCAAACAAGTTGCTCAACAAAGCGATGCGCAACGTTCCGTTGCACAACTGTATTACATGCTCTTACTAAAATTTTGATCAATCTTTTTATTAAAAGTTGTGCGTTGTTTGAGAAACAATCAGGTCCTCAAAGGCCATTGCGTCAATTATTATCGTATATACCCTAGATGATGTCAATGATACCAAAACACGAAAAAGAAAACAAAGAATTTGGATGAAAGAACTAAAATATTGCACAACGAAGCGCAACACACACATACACTACTCAACGCGCTGCGCAAACGTCTGTTGCACAAAAGAATTCAAACATTCTTGAAAGTTATAAACAATTGCGCAGCGCATCAAACGTTACCATACATTGGCAACTCGTTGCGCAACGGCCTGTGTTGCGCAATTTGTTTGATAATGTATGGGCCGCTTTAGAATATATCATAAGCGTATAATAAAAAAACGGCGTCAAAGACAGCTGGGGAATGACAATCGATGATAATTTTGGTGAAGTCAATCTAGACGTCATTTACTAAAAATTGACATAAAATTGACTTTCTACCAAATAAAGATTGTGGCACTATCGATATTCGTTTGTACCTTGATCACATGACAGTGTCTCATTCTTCCATTGGTTGTGCTCTAGGTATATTAGTTATATGCGTGTGGTTAAAAGGCCTATTTGTATACGTAGTTTTAAAATTACTTTATTTAAGATTATTGTATTCTTTTTTTCAGAATGCAAAAGTTGCGCACACCTGTGTATTTCGTTCCCTTGAGATTAAGAGGTGGCGGTGAGAGCGCTCTCAGCACCGGAACCTCAGGCTGGGGAACGCCACCATCTCAACAAGCCAGTAATAATAATAGTAAGTACCAGCTATTCAACTTGAATCGTTACCTTTATTGTGAGTTAATTTCGAAAGAACAGTTTAAACTTATCACCAACTCCCTGTGTTGAAAAAAATATGTCAGACTTTTCAAATATCAAAAAAAAAGTTATGTACTATAACCTTTCAATGAAAATATTAAGGAAGGAGCATACATACATCATAAACATCTGTTTTTGACTGTTCTGTTTGACTTCAATTAACACAAGCATTGTTTTATTTTTATTTTATTTTCATACCTTATTTATTTATTATTTGTTCTACAATTTATTTGGCTTAGAGATAAATTAACAGTAATATTGTGAATTTGATGTTTCCTTACATTTTTATTAGAAGTATGTATATTTCTTCTTTAATCTTTTTAATTCAAAGGCTATAATAAATTGTGTATAATTTCCATAAAATATTAATTTCTCATCATTCACAGTCTGTTTGATTTTACTTTTTTCACACTATACAGGGTGTCCCAGAAATGAGTGCAAATTTTTTTTGAGGGGTGGTAGATCTGGTCAAAATAAACATATTTTCTCTTTACCATTTTTAAAATAAATTGGAAATAACCGAGTTATTTAACTTTGAAAATTTAAAAAAACAATCGCAACATTTTGGGAACCACCGGCAGATATTGCCAACTACATCCAATTACCCGGATCAAGCCCGGATTTCAGTTAATTCGACGCACTGTGTTGCCATATGGACAAGAAAGTATATGTTTACAAGTAAGTCATAAAATCACAACACCTGAGGAGTTTGCAGAGATGCATTACATTTTTAAGATTGTGATATTATTACCTAAAATAAATTAAAAGTTAAATATTTAAAAGTTAAATTAAAAAATTTACCCAACATTAAAATAGATACTTATGACAGATCGATGTAACTGCGACAGTTCTCTTTTTCGATACACACTTAACTAAAATACACTTCATTGTGCTGCTTTACTTGTACGTGCTATTATAAAAACTGCTAAAATAACAGTCCCCATTTTTAACTTAACAAATTATTTTCATATAGGCTTCATCACAATTTGAACCACTGCTTTATAAAACACCTTGAAAAGCACACATTACACATTACTTTGAATATCTTTCTGAATGAATAAATGTTGAGAATTATTGTCTCTTACCGCCACTTTACCACCAAACCAAACTACTTTCAATCTAAGAAAATACATGTTTCACTCAACAATTTTAAATACGTATTTTGCTTTTTCGCTATTTTCGATGTATTTCGAGAATTCCGTCAACAGCCCAACCATCGGCCAAGACAGCCACGCATCACTGGTTGGTAACTGCTCACTGCTTCTTTGTCGCGCCGGCGTGTCGAGCTTGCGTCATGCGAGGTTGGCGTAGTTTCAACAATTTCAAATTCAAGACACTCAAAGCAATCAAATTCTTATTAAATTTTAAAAATAAAACAGAAAAACATGAAAGGAAACAAACAAAACACAAATGAATTGATTATTGATAAGGTCACAAAAAAGAAATTTCTAAAAATTTTATCGTAATTCAGAATTCAATATATCGAAAACAGCCCGATGAATAATCAATTCATTTTCGTTTTGTTTGTTTCCTTTCATGTTTCTCTGTTTTATTTTTAAAATTTAATACAAATTTGATTGCTTCGAATGTCTTGAATTTGAAATTGCTGTAACTACGGCAACGTTGCTTAACATCGTCGTCTGACGCAAGCCTGCCACGACGGCGCGGCTCAAAGGACCAGTTCACACGTGGCACGCTTGGCCGACGCGCGACGGTTGGGCTGTCAAAATACATCGAAAAAATAGCGAAAAAACAAAATACGTATTTAAAATTGTTGAGTGAAACATGTCTTAGATTGAAAGTAGTTCGTAAAAATAACGATAAGAGACGGTATTCAAAGTAATGTGCGCTTTTCAAGGTGTTTTGTCTAAAACAGAGAAATAAATGAAAAAACATGAAAGAAAACAAATATTGAATTCTAAATTACGATAAACATTTTAGGAATTTCTTTTTTGTGACCTGGTTGGGAATAATATGATGAATCATCTTCGTAAACGTCATAAACGTAATGTTTTAGTTAATTTTCGGTGGTTTTTGTTAAGTTTTCATTGAAAGGGTAAGTACTAAAAATAATTAATGTGTTTTTTCTATAATAATTAATTATTTTATTATTTTATTTGTATATAATTAATTAATAATCAGCACTGATAAAAATTTGACATTCCTAATTTTTGAGTAGAAATTTTTCTATGAATTTATAAATGTAGAACTATGTAGAATGTGGATAACATAGGAGGTTGCAACACTGCAAGGTTTAGATACACCGTAGAGAAATCTCAGGTGAATAAACAAGTGGCACTAAAAAGTTTTTTCAAATTTCCCGGAAAATGCCAAGAAAAATTTTAAATTTTTAACATTTTTTTTTCGCAAAAAAAACCTCATAGGCGTGTTTCTGGGGTTGAACTATACTACCAGTTAAAATATTTGCACTTATTTCTGGGACACCCTGTATAATCCATTTAGTAGAACATCGTTTACTGTGATTTGTTGTATCCTAAACTCTTATTCACAAATATCATTTGCACTGTTGGTGGCCCTTAGTATGTTTGTTTTGTTAAAAAAAAGTGTTTAAGTTATTGCACTTAACAGATTGCCTCTGACTTGTTTGTACCACAAGAAAACACATATTCTCTTGATACATTTTATGGTATTGTCTCAAACAGACTTAAATTTTAGTCATGTGTAATTGACCTTAGATTATTAAAAAAAAATTCCAAATCATTAACATTACAATTTATTTGTATGTGTAGATTCGAGCGGCTGGGGTACACCCAACACGGCAAATCAGAACAACGTTGGAACCCAACAATGGAACAACCATGCTAATCGGCCACCAGTCTCATCGCAAAGTGATGGTAATTTTTTTACATCATATTTATTTTTTTAGTTATTTAGGCCATATTATTCTTTCTCTAATGTGGTAGTTTTGTCTCTAAAAAACACAGCCAAAATAAGTAAAAGACAAACATGGATAAAATTTTTAAAATCGGAACGCGCTCAATTTCTGATTTCGGAACGTACTTGGAATTTTCAATGGTGACGTAACGTTGAACGATCTTTGTACAGACTATATATCTTCTAGAAACAAAACTAGGGAGCAATTTCAGAAACAGCAATATTTTTAGGGCTAGAGTATTGTCTCCGTATAGCTCCTTAGTAGTGCCAAAGATTATCATGCTGACATTCAAAAATTAATTGACAGAAAATACTGACCGATTTTGAATTAAAACGACAGACAATAACTGTCACTGTCAAATTTCTCTCGTTGGACATACTTGTTCCGTCATTGGACAATGTGTGCACCTTGAACGTCAAAGCTGTTTCAAAATAGATTGCCTTATCGATGACAGATAACTTGACAGAAAGTCACATGGAACTCAACATTCATCATCATCATCATTTTCAGCTTATTCAACCATTTATAATTATGATTTAGTCTCCCTCACATATTTAGATACTCTCTTTGTAGTTAGGTTCATTGGTTATCTATTATTGGCTATGCGGGCCCAAGATATCTCTGCTAATTTTCTAATATGATTCTCAGGTTTGGTCTTCTTCTAGGTCGCTTAACGTAAACGTAAATAAAACCTCAACTGATGAAACAGTCTAGGGAAATACTTATATACAGGGTCGTCCGAATTGTATTCCGGAAAGTTCCACAGCATATTCTGCAGATAAAAATAAGTAAAAAAGTTCGTATAAATGAATGTCCTATAATGCTTAGTTTCGGAGATACAGGGTGTAGAAGTTTCATTTTTATTTCGATTTTTTCCAAATAATTTCTGAAATGACGTCAATATTTGGATGAAAATTGGTATCTGGGGTTTTTTTGGCATGAAAAATTTGATTTTGATGTCAATATGACTCCTACTTGTAGAGGGCGCCACCTACGTATTTTTAACTGGTTTGAAGAGTAATAACTTTCCGTCCGTACCTGTATAAAACTACTGAGTGAAAAAAATTACATTTCCGTGATTTTTTACGTAAAAAATGTCTCTTGGTCAAAATCCCTACGAACAACCGTTCTCAAGCTTTGAATAAGAAGACTAAGGAAGGAGCATATCAAAAATCTTAGGTACACCGCGATGGGCCTCAAATATGGCCGACTTAAATTCCGCTTAATCAGTACCGTTCTAATTTTATTTAAAAAAATGTAAAACTATGATGTAGGGTAGACGTGGGGTAGACTCAATAATTTGTTATTTTATTTTACGTTGTGAATAAATGTTGGTAGTTATTAAAATTGTTACAAAAATATATAATTCTAATAAAAATAGATAAGTTATAATAAGTATTTATTAACACAAACATCCGATACGCTACTGAAGCAGATAAGTCAAATTAACGTATCAAAATTCTTTGACATCTGATCTTTGACAAGTAGTAAATAAAAGCTAAAATGCAAGAACATATATAATTTAGTTAATTTAAGTGAATTTCATAAATGATCGGTTTACTACACGTATGTATATTATATAGTCACTTACTAGCGAAAAGTCATTCCATTATTTCACTCAATTTTTGCCGAGATCTACCGCACGCTACACAACCAACTATTTTAGAGTCTTTTTCGATAAATCGCGATAATGTCACTGTTAATTTAAGTTCTGCCACAATTTCCATCTAGATGTACTATCTTTATACAACTATCAGTAGTAGAATAAATAATAAATAACATAAAATAAGCTCCGTAAAGACTGACAAATCCACAAAATTTCAAATCAAATTCAAATGTGTCAAATGAATCGTCAAACAGAACTGTCAAGGATCCCCACCCTAGAGAGATTTTTCCGCCCACCATGCATGAATACATGGATAGCATTATGCTCCTTCCTTAGTCTTCTTTTTCAAAGTTCTCAAGATATTTGGAATGGAAATAGTCAATACATGTCATTGACAAAAAAATAAACACGCTGAGTAGATAGTTATTTGACTGAAATAATAAATTTGGTAAATTTTTATTTTTTTAAATTAATTATAATTTTTTCTACGACAAATGCTGATAAAACAGTTTCTGTTGAACTTTTGGCACAAAACATGTCAAATTTATGATTTCAGTTTAATAACTGTTAGTCAACATGTTTAATTTATGTCAATGTAGATAGGTCTTGATAATTTCGATTCCAAATATCTCGAGAACCGTTCCATGTAGCGATTTTTACCAAGAGATCTTTTCTACGTAAAAATGTCATAAATTTATATTTTTTCACTCACTAATTTTATACAGGTACGGACGAAAAGTTATTACTCTTCAAACCTGTTAAAAAAATATGTAGGTGGCGCCCTCTACAAGTAGGAGTCATATTGACATCAAAATCAAATTTTTCATGTCAAAAAAACCCCAGATACCAATTTTCATGCAAATATTAACCTTACTTCAGAAATTATTTGGAAAAATTCGAAATAAAAATGAAACTTCTACACCCTGTATCTCAGAAGCTAAGCATTTTAGGATCTACATTTATTCGAACTTTTTTACTCATTTTTATCTGCAGAATATGCTGCCGAAGTTTCCGGAATACAATTCGGACCACCCGGTATATTAGCATTCTTATCTTCTTAGTTAACTTTGTAAGCCTTTTTCTTGATTGCTATATTACCGGTATCTATATTGATATTAATACTGAAGGATTCTTAAATCATTGGCTAGATTAATTAATTTTTAAAATTTAAATATTTATTAGATTATGGAGGAAGTATCTGATTTTGCAGGAACTTCATGCTGCATGAACTCATATGTTATGCTTAAATAGAAAAAATTCAAACACAGTATGCGCGCACAATAAAATGAAACAAATCTTGAAAAAAACTAGTTTTATTGAATAATAAAAACAAACTACTGTTGTTATTATATTTACGTGAGGTATTTATTTATTGTTGTTGTGGTTTAACCGTTATTCACACACATACTCACACACGAAAATATATATTGTGGTTTGCAGTAATCTGAAATCAACATCGTTTTAGCGGTATCAGAAAATTGAGTTTTAGAATGGTTTAGATAATGATTGCACGTGTTTAGTGTGTTAACACGATTTAATGTGGGGTATCTTTGTTCTAAATATTTCAATGTAACAAGACTATTTCCAGGAACTCGTGGGAATTTAGTACATTTACTTTTATTATAAATTGTCTATATTTAAAGATGTATGTATGTACCACATGTTTGCAAAACCTTCTTATTTTTTGTGACCTTGTCATTTTTCTCTTTTTTATATTATACTTGCCGACCCAGTGAAGTGAGAGTATATTAGTATTTATTAGGAGTAAAAAAAATTGGCACTGGGAGGCACGTATAGCTGCCCATACTAAAATATGTTAATATCTCAAAACTGCGCTTTTGACTGAATTTGATGTTATTACAAATTTTGTTGCAAATATTATTCCTAATCTTAATTTGAAAAGCGCGTTTCGCTAGCTACTGTAATTTTGGAGTTACGATTTTTTTAAATTTTTAACCCCCTCTTATACCCCCTTACCAACGCCCCACCCTCACCAAAAACTAATGGCCAGATTCTCGGGTGCCACAGTATTTTTGTGCCAAATTTGGTTAAAAACGGTTCAGCGGTTTTTGAGTTATCGTGTTACAGACGGACGGACAGACAGGCACCACGAAAATATTTTGTATTTAGGTCATTTATGACCCAAATAACTCATTTTGAGTGAAATTAAAAAAACTTTTTTTTTGCCGATCCTAATAGCCTACCATACCTATTGGTATGGTCGGCTAAAAATTGGCGCCGGGAGGCACGTATAGCCGCCCATACTAAAATATGTTTATAAAAAGTTAGTAGGCAGTTCTTTTAGTTTCAAAGTAAAAGAATTTTTCCAATTTTGGTCCGCGGTTATTTCTCCTATCCGCCACCTGGGGTCGCGTCCGATGGGAGTTTGGAGTTCTCCACACGGATTTTCTCAAAAACGGACTACGGAAACACGGAATATCTCAAAAAATGCGACTTTGATTTTGATGTTATTACAAATTTTTTTGCAAATATTATTCCTAATCTTAAATTGAAAACCGCGTTTCGCTAGCTACTGTAATTTTGGAGTTACGATTTTTTAAAATTTTTACCCCTTTCCCATACCCCTTACCAACCCCCACCCCCACCAAAAACTAATGGCCAGATTCTCGGGTGCCATAATATTTTTGTGCCAAATTTGGTTAAAATCGGTTTAGCGGTTTTTGAGTTATCGTGTTACAGACAGACACCATGAAAATATTTTGTATTTAGGTCATTTATGACCCAAATAACTCATTTTAAGTGAAATTAAAAAAAACTTTTTTAATTAATACTAAATATTAATAATAACTTTTTAAAAACGGCTAATAACTTTTTGTGCATCGCCACGAAAAGTATCATTTTTACTCCTAATAAAACAATGTACGGTATGCATTATAACGGTTGTCTTTTATGAAACCCTAAATCAGTTTTAAATGTTAAATCGAGTAATACTTGGATATATGATTTCTTTCCTACAATATCGCATCGTCAAAACCAATATTCTATCTGCGAAATGGCTCTAAACCTCGACGATAACGACCCATTTATAAAAGCGGTCTTGGCTGTCGCTGAAAAATGAACTTGTGCACCGAGCTGGTGGGACACAACTGGCTCGCTGCCAAAAACAACATTAAATCGAAATAGCGAAGCCAAGAAGGTTAGCCACAGATTCTGGAATTCAATTACAAGGGTATCGGTTACGACCTGATGCCATAGAACCGATTCTGTTTTAATTAGAGCAACAGTAAACAGGCTGATTGAATACATTAGCCAGGGATTTTTTATGGTATTTATTCGCGATGTCTGTATGACACGTTTTAATTGAATAACAAATTGTTTTGGTACAGTCGAAACCCCACTGTGTCAGTTATTTTTCTTTTACTGGAAATAGAAGAATACAAACATATATTTGGAACAACTAATACACAGTTCAGGATTTCTACTACCAGTAATCAACCGGAAAATTAAGTTAGCAAGGAGTACTTTTGAAAGAAACCCAATCATATTCAAATCTAAAATGCCACTTTATCTAAAGAAGAAAACATTCGACCAATGTGTGGTGTAAGTCATGACCTATGCATGCGAAACCTGGACACTTAAAGCGGACATCATAAGGAAACTGCAGGTCGCACAACGCTCAATGGAACAAAATATGCTGGTAATAACCAAGAGAGACCGTAAAAGAATAGAGTGGTTACTACAAAAGACCCAGGTCATTCACAGAATCAAATCCCTCAATTGACAATGGGCAGGACACATGGCAAGAAGAACGGACAACAGATGGACCATAAAAATTACAGCATGGTGCCAACCAGGAATTAAGAGACCTAGAAGAAGACCGCACCTGAGATGGACCATGATATTTGGAAATTAGCAGTGATAACTTGGGCCCACATAGACAACAATGGGCCCAACTACAAAGAGAGTATCTAAATATGTGAGGGATGCTACACCATAATTGGAAATGGTTGAATAAGCTGAGATTGATGATGATAATCTTGTTGCTCGCGGGTATCTGTCATATTTGACATTTAAAAAAGTAAATTGCCAAAAATGAGATTTGTGGCTAGTTTTGAAAAACTTGTTTCTTTTTTGATTTTACATAAGAATACCTATTTTCAGCTTCCAAGTTTAAAAATTTCGTCGTTTTTTGCCAATTGCAGCTGACTATCGTGGTAGATGCAAAATTATCTGATTGCAGTCCGTTTTTTCAGTCAAGTCATATATTTATTTAGTACTCATAGACCATTCTGATCATCGTAAAAGCGTAGTCTGGAATTTAACGTGTATGACAGTTATGTAAACAGCTTAATGGAAAATCAAATGTATTAAAAAGAGATAAAAGTTGGGTTGATACATTTCTTCTTTGCGGTATTGCCGGATTTTGCATCATTTCAAACCGCACAAGAAGGCGTTTATGAAAAATGTTGCATCTAGGACTGGAACTTTACTTTTCACAACTATTTACTCATTTTACTACAGCTGTAATAGATTATATTTAGCTTAGATATATTATTACAGTTGGGGTTGGACTCCGACAGTCTTAATCATCTGCTGATGACGCTAACATGGTTAGCGAAACGCGCGTCCAGTGTAAAAGTAAAAGTGTTTTGGTATAGTGTGGTAATATAGTGTTTTATTTTGCTATTTTGTTAGATATATTATTTTCGTTTCAATAGTATAAATGGAAGTTTTTAAAATAGTTTTTTTTTCTACACACATTTTTCTACATAGGTAAAAACCGGCAACACTGTGTGCCGCTTTTTATTTTGTTTCGTCTGTCTATCTTTATCATTATCGCATGCGTTAAAATACAGACCACGCAAATTAAGTGTCCAGGATGGTATATTTAAATATTTTGAAAAAGTTAAAGTTAATAGTTTTTATTAGAAGTTAAATTTTGCTTTAAAAAAATTGCTTGCGTAGTGTAAACTTTGTATAACCTTCTCAACTATCCAGATAATAAATCATTCCTAAACATTTTTTCTAATTTCTCAACTGAAGTAATCTGGCCCGCCATAAGTAAGTTGTTTAGACATAATAGTTCTATAATACTTTCTTTTTAATTTGATTAGCATTTTTGTCTAAACTTTTTTGTAACACAATAAGTAGACTATGAGAAATTAACGCCAAGACAAAATTTGACGTAAGTCAGTGAATTAAAAAATCCAATGTGACATGGACTTCGTCTTATATATTTACCTTTTTAGCCGTCCATACCAATAGGTATTAGGTATGGTAGGCTATTAAGATCGACAAAAAAAAGTTTTTTTAATTTCACTCAAAATGAGTTATTTGGGTCATAAATGACCTAAGTACAAAATATTTTCATGGTGTCTGTCTGTCTGTCTGTTCGTCTGTAACACGATAACTGAAAAACCGATTTTAACCAAATTTGGTACAAAAATACTGTGGCACCCGGGAATCTGGCCATTAGTTTTTTAGTGAGGGTGGTGGGTTGGTAAGGGGGTATGGGATGGGGTTAAAAATTATAAAAAATCGTAACTCCAAAATTACAGTAGCTAGCGAAATGCGGTTTTCAATTTGCAACAAAATTTGTAATATCATCAAAATCAGCCAAAGTCGCAGGTTTGAGATAAAAAAAATTAAAAAATTCCTTTACTTTGAAACTAAAAGAATTGCCTACTAACTTTTTATTAACATATTTTAGTATGGGCGGCTATACGTGCCTCCCGGTGCCAATTTTTTACTTTTAATATCGTTTATTTCGCCAAAATAGAGTAGTCTGTCTAACTCGAGGATATAAGACAGTGACAGTTGGTTGTCATCATTTTAATTCAAGGGTAAATTGTATTTTTTGTCATTTTTTAGGTGTCGTCTTCTGTCGAATTTAGATGAAATGCGAATTCCCTCGACTTTAGATGAAATGCGTGTGTTCTATTTGGCGACCGAGTGTTAAATTGTTTCGCTGCGCAGCGTTGTCAAACTGAATCGTAAACGGACACATAATTAGCGGTGTTTTGAATGACATACCAAATTTTCATTTAGTATAAACAAATATATTAAAAAAAGTTTTTATTTTCAGCTAACAAGAACAATGCCAACGGCCAACAACCCCCACGACGCAATCGAACAACTCGGTGTGGCCGCAGGCCGGGTCAAAACCGGCCGTGGCCGGCACTAATGGGCCGCCAACTTCCGGCGGCCCCGGCCTCAACAACAACACCCCGAACAATACCACGCCGAACAACGCCACCAACACCACCAAACAACAGCTCGAGCAACTGAACAATATGCGCGAGGCCATATTCAGCCAGGACGGATGGGGTGGCGTAAGTATTGTCTTGTTATTTTTTAACGTACCGTATGATGAAAACGAAAAACTGGATCCAGTTGGCTGGGAAATGGACATGGATGACATTCCCCATATAATTTTACATACAAATTGACAGCGATCTTCATTTCATAGCCATCTCGGACGCCGTTTCTTTTTCGATCATATTGTACTATATCCCAAGTAGCATTTTTGGACATGTTTTAGGTAATGTTTCTAAAATTGTCGTGTCTGTTTCTTGAGACAAAATGGAAATGGTATGCCACAAATAGGAAACATTTTCGAAACCTGTATATTTTATATGGCTTTATTACATGTGTTTCCAATATGGTGGCACTAGCTGTTTTCTGAAATGTTTCGATGCGGAATCAAAACTTTTAGAGGAAATGTTTCGAAATATTTTCTGGAATTTGTTTTCAAGATGTTCACGTTTTCAGCAGCCACTGTTTCTAAATGTGAAGAAACAAAATACCAAACTAAAATAGTCTATGTCTGTGTGTGGAGTTCAAAATGAAAACAACCATCAACAATGTCAACCTCCGCCATAGTTTTTTTGTCCTAAAATCTTTGTTTTTAGGTTTTCTCGCACAAGAAATTTCTGGCAAAAGCAAATTTATTGTTTAATGTAATAATGTACTTTAATATTTTTTATGCTCCTATACCGGGTGCGTCTCAAAAGTGGCTCACCCCTATAACATTTTTATTTTTTCAGTTAAAAAATCGAGATTTGGTATGTTAGTATATTACATAAATTAGAATTGATTGACGTATGATATGTCATTCTATTCAGAGTGTCATGCTCTACCGAATAAAGTAAAAATATATCTAGGGTGCCATTTAAAAATCAAAAGTAGTAGTCATTTCCGGTGATACAGGAAGTGACCAAAAACAATAATTAAATCGTCAATCAATCCTAATTTATGTCATATACTAACATACCAAATCTCGTTTTTTTCTCTGAAGAAATAGCATAGTTATAGGGGCGGGCACCCGGTACTTCCTTCCAAAAATTCTAAATACATATTTCAAAAATACCAAAATGGACACCAAATGGTGAATTTTTCACCGTTTTGTAGAATAAGGGCCTAGATCACCAGATATATCATCAAAAATAATAAGAAGAAAATTAGTAGAATGTACAAGTGTTGATATTTATATACAATCATTATTTCAGCAACACGTGAACCAAGACACGAACTGGGACATCCCCGCTAGTCCCGAACCCTCCATGAAGATGGAGGGCGCCGGTCCTCCCACCTGGAAGCCGGCCGTGAACAACGGCACTGATTTGTGGGAGGCCAACTTGCGCAACGGTGGCCAACCGCCACCGCCGCCTCAGCAAAAGACACCCTGGGGCCACACGCCCGCCTCCAACATTGGGGGCACGTGGGGAGAGGACGACGACGCCACTGACAGCTCAAACGTGTGGACGGGAGTGCCTAATAACCAGCAACAGTGGGGAGGCAACAATAGCAACAATGCTATGTGGGGAGGTAAGCGTAAGAGTAATGATTTAAGAATATGTATATGATAGTTTCGGTATAATCTTTCTAACGAGACTTTGAATAAAAAGATATAAAGGAGTTTAATACAAGCATTACGGACGGAATCGACATCGACATCAGATCATAGACAAATGAAACAAGTTTAGATTGGAAAGTGCCCATAAGGACAATGTAAATACTATTTGGCGCTATTCTTGCAACGGTCGCTACCCAAAGCTTTTGATAATTTCGGATCGGATGGGCTTTTTCCGGAATTATGTCGCCAAATATTATTTATTCAAATTTATTATTATTTTCTTTTAATTTTGTAAATAAAATACAGTGTGTTGCATACAAGAAACTTTATTTTATATAAGGACATGTATGTGAAATATAGTCTATAAAATGAATAACTTTGAATTTTGACCCTTATTTTTTACCAACATGGCAAATATAAAATCCCTCTATCAAAAAAGTTACTGATATTCTTTAAATTGAGTGCCTGAACGAATCAGATAGGTAACTCTTTTTACTTTCGTGAAATAGAAAAGGAAAATAATAAAACAAGTGACAGTTCTTCCCCTTCTTGCAAAAATCAACACGAAATGTCATAATTGACAAAAGTAAAATGTCATCAGCTTTTGACATTTCTAAATATTAGAGCAATGCCGTCTCTAATAGAACAGCCACGGAGCGAGATTCATGACGTCACACTAGTTAGATACTACGGATTAATAAATATGTTGTAGAATACATGGAAAACATAATTATTCCTTGTATTTTTGGTTTGTATTTTAAAAATGATATAGTTTACATGAAATATACATAATATACAGTTAATAAATACAATATAATATATACCTATTTATAGTAGGCAAATACTTTTACTTATATATAAGTAAAAGTATACTTTAGCAAATAAACTATGAACCATACAAATGCAGCAAATGTTTTACAATATACAAATAATGAATAGGTGGTACATAAGATAATGGATAAAATGTAAAATATATCTTAAATTTTGGGGGTTTGAAAATCGATCTAATTTAACAAAAAACATTCAATATTTACTAATAGTGATGTATGTATTATTATTTGCATTCACAAAATTTATTTATATATTATAATGTTTCCTGCAATTAATAAACTAATATAAACTTGTCACAAGATGACCACATATTTTTTAAATTATTATTCTTAACACAAAACTATCTACATTGACTATGTAGTACACGATTTCAACCATATTGTAAAACATTTGCTGCATTTGTATGGGTCATAATTTATATCTGCCAAAGTATTTATTACTATAAATAGGTATATATATTGTATTTATTAACTGTATATTATGTATATTTCATGTAAACTATATCATTTTTAAAATACAAACCAAAAATACGAGGAATAATTATGTTTTCCATGTATTCTACAACATATTTATTAATCCGTAATATCTAACTAGCGTGACGTCATAAATCTCGCTCCGAGGCTGTTCTATTAGAGACGGCATTGCGTCAGCATAGCCGCAAGTTGCTAACCTAATAAAATTAACACTAGAAAAGCCCGCGGGAACTGTCAAATTCAAAGTTATTCGTTTTACAGACTATACCTATGAAACATTGGAAACAGGCGTTATTCCACGATCCACGATGGTTTTTGCAGTTCACAGTTCACCACACTATTTTTTTAGTTTTTAATGCCACTTTTTCACAATTATCACTGGTTTGAGTAAGTAAAATTTAAACTAAACTCACAAGATAGCAATAATTACTGTGAGAATGGACACTTCAAACACTTTTCGGTATTTTTTCAATGAAGTCGGTTTACATTTTGAAAGATTTTATAATTTTTGAAGATTCCGACTTTGACAAGAGAAAATTATTTCTGTTATTGTTTGTGGTTGTTCTTAGCAACCGCTATAGCAGCGCCAGATCGCGTACAACGGTCGCGACCCAAAACAATTATATATTTTGATGGGTTTTCCAATCTAAATTTATTTCCTCTATATTTTCCAATCTAAATATTTATCTATGTATGACATCCCATTTTTGACAGTTATGTCGTTTGATGTTTTAAAGCCTAGATGTAGATGGAAAAAAACTAGAAACTTGATATATAGGTCTTTTCAGAACACTAGTTTTAAAATTTATTTAATTCATTTATTAAGACTTAAAACCCTATAAGGTCTGGCCAAGGAAGCAAGGAAGATTTTGACAGACGGCATCCACAAAGGGGTAGAAAATTCAGTTTACCTGTAAATTAAATTCTTCCTTCACTCTTGTCGTAAAAAAGTCCTTCTATCCTATCGTTGGACAGACTTTAAATTGATCTTACAGCGCTTTCAGATGGAGCGGACCGTCCGTCGTGTTTTTTCAAGATAGCCGTCGGACGGAGCATACGCGCCCATGTGAAATTGTTCATATAAACTCATGGTACTTGCTCGAAGTCGCGGACGCTCCGTCGCGGACGGTCCTCTCCATCTGAAAGTGCTGTTAATGATTATTCTAGCTTTAAAAAATGAAAAAATGTTAACGGCCTGTTAAAAGTGAGACAAAATAAAATAGTAACACTGTACAAATCAGGATTCCATAAAATATACTATTCTTGTTACAGCTGGTGGTAACGCTTCCGGATGGGGCGATCCACGTGCCGCAGCTGATCCTAGAGCTACAGCAGCTGCGGCGGCCGCGGTTACGATGGACACCCTGCGCCCTGATATGAGAGCAGTAGCTGCAGCTTCTGGTCTCGATCCGAGACAGCTGGACCCTCGCGAACAGATCCGCCAGATACCCGGAGGAGACATGCGAGGCGATCCCAGAGGTAATTTGTCTTTATTTTGCTATAATAATCAGATTAAATTGTTGTTAGTTTTTACATAACAATGAAATAATTCTGTTACGGATTCTGTGGGTGCACTAATTTAAACTCACGATGAAATACTTAACGGATTTATTTTCTCACTATTTACACACAATTTATATTCATTACAACAATTAACTATTTAAAAAAATCCTTTGCCAAATTGTCAACATTTGCTATTCCAAAACTAACCGTATAGTATGTCCAACGAGAAGATCCTTGACAGTGATAGATGTGTCTGCCATTTTAATTTCAAAGTAGTTTATTTTATTTTATAAAGAAATAAGTTGGTACAACTGGAACGCATAGCTGGAAATTAATATATGTTTTTAAAATTTGACTGACAAGTAACTTCAAAATATTGTGAATAAAACTGTATAAAACTGAAAAAATGTAATCGACTTATTTTATTTAATAAAAAACTGCATGTGTTAATACAAAACACACAAAAACAAGACACCACATACCAAAAAATATAAAAAAGAACTATTTCTTAATTTCAAGCTTTATGAAACTTCCCGCATTTATGATTATATTTGTCAATATAACTTATGTACAAATACAAATTTGTAATATTCCATTTATTTATTTGTAATATTAAAGGAATAAATAAAACAACATAAATAAAACAAACTATTTTATTAATAATAACACTTACCAAATTTTATACCTCACAGGTTGATTAATTAACTTTAATCTTAATTTTTTTAAACCAGTACCTTTTGCCATTATTTTTCTGCAGTACTAAAATCCATTATTTACCTATCGTGTGATGTCGATATTTTTCAGCTACGCCAGTTTTTAGTATGTGTTTAGTATGGTTCTTCTACCATATTCGAGATGCACTTATCTACGACGAGATGGTATACGAACTTTATTGATAGTAACTTTATTGGTGTATCTGTATAAGACTTTCTCCCTGGGCAGCAAGTATTAACCATAAACTGTGCTCTGGGTTCTACAGTTAATTTTCACTCGATTTTTCCTACACTTGACTTCAAAAGACACAAAACACTCGTAATAACACGAATCAAAATGCATCATCTTCCAAAACGCAGGGTATTTGACAAAAGTTGTCACAAGATTATAACCTATAATTTGGCAAGACTTTGACAAACGTCAAAAATCTAAAGGCGAGTTCATACGCATCGGCGTCCGTTTGTCGTTATCGTTCCGTCAAACCAATAAAATTGAAATACGATCTGTCATTTTTGAAATAAACCAATAAAACTGGTTAAAAACAACAAATGACGACGCATGACGAATTTATATTTAAACCCATCCATAGTTAACTTAAAAATTATTAGAAACTTTTTTTAGTAAAATAAATAGATTGGTATGGGACGTCATCTGCTTTTCTTCTGTCATCGTCTGTCGAAATCCTACCTGAGAAAAAAAAACAGTATATTTCGAAACTGAACTAAATAATTGCTGGGCGCGTTTGCGCTTATATACCTCCCAGTGGCCGCGTCTCGAACGTTCGAAAATTATCTGTAACGTTCTTTTTGGTTCTAGTAAATTCTTTACAAGATCCTATTTCCACTTGAGTCCAAGAGGCGCTTCAAACAATGTCCTGTATTAAAGATGAAACCTCAACCAGCAATACACGTTCGCGATTATTCGCTTCTCCGACAGATGTCGCCACACACAACTTGACAATACATTTTTGAAAACCTCTTTTATTTTTCTGTATAATCTTTGTGAATCCCTACACTTCTCCTAGATATAGTATAGGTGGAGTCTTTGACAGCAAAATAGTTGCGAATGTGAATATGAATGTTAGACAGCTTAATATGAGTGTGATAACCAAGTTCGACGAGAATTTTGTTACATGTTCAAATTTTTAGTATACTTTAGAAATAATTGAGTATTTGGGAACATAATACATTAATATTATTTCTATCCTTATTATTTAATAACCAGAATTATACCAGGTGCGTCTCAAAAGTGGCTTACCCTTATAACTTTTTGATTTTATCAGATAAAAAAACAAGATTTGGATTGTTAGTATATGACATAAATTAGGATTGATTAACATATTCAATTGTTGTTGGTCACTTCCTGTTTCAAAGGAAATGACTACAACTTTTGATTTTTAAATAGCACCCTCAGTATTTTTTTACTGTATTCAATAGAAAATGACATTCTGAATAGAATGATATATCATATGTCAACTTTTGACACTCTCGCTTAATAAAAACACTAATTCTTAATCAAGGAGTTTGGTTGCGATTTAAGATTTACTTAAAATACAGATTTAATCTTCTAATGGGTCTTGTCCTGGCCAGTTGAAAGATACCCAAATCGTATTTTTAATCATATCTCAATTTTTTCAAATGGAATGAGCACGAGGGTAGCTCATTAGCATACTTGGAAAAAGCATTTTTTTACCAATAATTTGATACCACACGCTTGGTATATTTCGAGTCAAATTTTCGTTCCGAACATCAAGTTATAAATTAAAGAGAAATACCGAAAGCGCCATTTAAAATTCAAAAGCTGTCGTCATTTCCGGTGAAACAGGAAGTGACCGAAAACAATAGAATACATCAATCAATCCTAATTTATGTCATATACTAACATACTAAATTTCGTTTTTTTTAACTGAAAAAATAACAAAGTTATAGGGGTGGGCCACTTTTCAGACGCACCCGGTATATTTATTAGCGAGAATTACGAAAATAATTATTTAATCTGTAGTAATGTTCAAAAACTTTAATTATTACAATTAACTTTTCAGAATTTAATAATTGGATCTCGATAAACGAACTATAATAAGCAAACTGCAAGAAAAAGAAAACAAATCATTAACGAGCACAATTTATATTCGCTTCTGTTGCGATATAATCATTATTTCAAATGTCTCCATTAATTCAGTTTAATTTTAGCTTTGTATTGAAAAATTCTTGTAACTTTGCCAAGTTATTAGTTTGATGAAATTGTTTTTCTATTATTGTTTGATGTATTATTGAAATAAATATCTCGGCTATTACATAATCGTGGTGTGGTACATTGACATTTTCATGATATGAATTAATAATCATTACAAAGTTTGAATAGATGTATCTGTCAAAAAAAAATAAAGTGTTCCCGAATAGTTGTATTTATGTCGTTTTTTTCTTTGTTGTTTGTGTTATTTTCTGCTTTTGGCGACGGGAAGAAATATACAATTTAAGCATTTTTGTTCGTTAGGCAAATTAGCTTTATTAGTAAAATATCACTGACAAATTGGTCTCCGTTGGATTAACGCAGTGGTGTTTACAAAAAATAACTATTTTGTTTTGTAGATATTCTTCTAGTGGCGGAAACCCAGAAGTTTTTTCAAGACATATTCTAACTATTATTCGATTCAATCGTGTTCTCTTTCAGGAATAACTGGACGCCTTAATGGTGCCGGAGCGGAATTCTGGGGTCAATCTGGCCACCACGGCGGACCCAGCGGCATGCACCACCAGAACAAGATGCCCATCGGCCCGGGCAACACCGGAGGATGGGAGGAACCGTCACCCCCGTCTCAAAGACGCAACCTTCCCAACTACGATGACGGGACGTCTCTGTGGGGTAATCCACAGCAAGGTAAATTGCAACAATTATCTTTAGGTTATACTCGTGTACCCAATATCTCTAAATTCCATTTTTTTCTTTGTCCTCGGCAATCGCTTTTGTACAACAAATATAGAGAAATCTAAAAAAGTTGGCGTGCACATCATCTCACAGATGTCGAAACAATCAAAACTATTACTAATGTTTAGGGCTTGAATCGCCTCACCAAAATTATTATCGATTGTCGTTCCCCAGCCGTCTTTGACGTCGTTTTTTTTCGATCGCATGGTATTTTTGTATTGTGTCTAAAATTGAAGTGAAAAATCTGTCACAAAATTAGAACTTTTATTTAAATCTTGTCAGTGGGCAATGTCGTCAAATATATTGACGCACCCAACTTTTATTGACTTTCCTATACCTTCTGTACAGGGTTGGAAAAATAATGATTTAAAAAAAAATAAAAAAAATCAGATTTTTTTTGTAAAAATGTACTTTTTGTGCCTCCCTGTACCGTCTGAATAGCTTTACGATGGTCCTTCGAAGGTACAGCATCGTCAAAAAAGTATAATTTTTACGCCTAATAAAACAATACACTATTGTTCGGAAATAGTCTTAAGTCGAGAAAGAAATTAGTATGTATTATCTAATGTCAAAGTGTAAGTAATTACTGCAGATCAAAATGTCGGTAGGAATTTGGAAACATACAACCTTTTCAAAAAAATATAAAACTACATATTTTATGACGATTATAGATTCTCGGGAATGAATATATTTATAGCCTCTATATTAGAAGAAGCTAGTTCTGCACTAGACTTTGCGAATGATATGTATTCGAACAGAAAATTTTTGTCACTTATACATAAATTTTAAAATAAATCCTTGCGTTTAGCGGTCTAATGGATTCACACGAAATTAGTTCAAAAATCGGTTCAACAATTAAATTATTGATGAATAGATATTTTTATATAGTTTTTATATGTTTACAATTATTTTCGATTTATTATCTGTTATTGAAATATTTTTTTATAGTTTTCTAGGACATATTTTTATAACTTTTACAGTTATTTTTTTATTTAAATCACATGATTAAAATTAAAAAACATCACTTGAATTAAATCACGATTTAAATCATGGTTAACCCTGCTTCTGTATGTCACTATTTCCACCCAAAAAAAATAACTTTACACCTAACTTTTTTCTTCTTTCCGTAGTAGCGCCTCGCGCAGGCCCCCACTGGAAAGATATGCCTTCGGGCGCGGGCGGCATGGGCGGCGGCAGAGGTGGTCCGCCAGGCATGGCGCCCGGCCGTAAACCCGACGGCGTTTGGGGAGGCGGCGGTGGCGGTGGAGGCGGTCGCAACGGCTGGGACGACGTAGGCGGTGGACCCGCGGGCGGCTGGGGCGACGAGCCTGCCGCCCCTTGGGCCAAACAGCAGAAGGGACCGGGAGGCCTGTGGGACCAGGCCGGAGACATCGAGTGGGGCCACAAGTCGCAGAAGATGCCTCTTACCAAGGAGCAGGTGTGGAATTCGAAACAGTTCAGGATGCTGGTGGATATGGGGCACAAGGTAGGTTGATAATCATTCAGTTTTTTTTGTTTCAATCGAAATTTATTTTTAAAAAATTAGTACACATTACAATTTTCAAATTATATTCAAAATTACATCAGTTATGACTAGTGATGAACGATATGAGTTACTATGATTTAATCACTTTGAATTTGCAGAAAGAAGAAGTGGAACAGGCCCTACGCGTCCGCGAAATGAACATGGAAGAGGCCCTGGATCTATTGAGCCCTCTCAGAGGCAGAGGCAACGACGGTTGGAGCGTGACCAACCGCCACGACGACCACTTCGACCATCCGCAATACCCCGGCGCTCAGCGGGGATTCCCTGGCCTGGGAGGACCGGCGGCTAATCCCTTGGGAGGCGGCTTTCCTTCGGGAGGCAACACCGCTCCTGGTCTACTGAACAGCATGGCCGGAGCCGGTGGACAACCCAACGGGTACGTTAATAGAAACTCAGAATCATAAATTTGTTGAATCCGACCGACTGCGCCAAAAATTTAATTCAAAATATAGAAATGTTTTAAGTTAAATATTTAGTATCAAGGGGTATAAAATGTTTAATTCTTCTTTCAGTTCGTTGATCAACAACATTTCGCCAGCCCTGGTACAAAAAATGCTGACGCAACAAGGCGGAGCCGGTGGTGTGGGAGGTGGAGGTTTCGGAGGCCCGTCCGCAGGCCGTCCTATGCAGCCTCAGAACCAGCCTTCTACTCAACAGCTTAGAATGCTCGTCAACCAAATTCAGATGGCCGTACAAGCTGGGTACTTGAATCATCAGGTAAATTCGGAACTTTTGTTTTGATATTTTTTTCTTACGATTGACAATTTTATTGCAGATCTTAAATCAACCGTTAGCACCTCAAACGTTGGTTCTTCTCAATCAACTCCTTCAACAAATTAAGAATTTACAGAACCTCACTCAACAGCAGATCGCAGCTACTACCTCAAAAGGAAACCTACCGAATAACACGCTTATGCAGTATTCCGTTCTCATCACGAAAACGAAACAACAAATCATAAATATTCAGGTTAGATTTTTTTTGCTGTATTTAATTTGGTTGGGTTGGTTAAAATAGCGAATACGACTGCTTTAGTCATTTTTAATATTTTCATCTATCAACAGTGTGTTTTCCAACAAAAAAAATGTATATTTAATATATCATATTAATGGTTAGTTAGAACAGTAAGCAAGAAAGCTTCTATGTAGGTGTTACATAATTCATTTCCTACTTTTACAGAATCAAATCCAAGCCCAACAAGCACATTACGTTAAGCAGCAACAAGGAATTGGGTACGATTCATTCAAGGCGGCACCTATGCACGAATCTATAAATGCCCTCCAGGGAAACTTCGCTGACTTGGCTCTGAACAAAGACCCGGTAAGATTCAGTAATCATGTGATGATAAAATATTAAAATTATTCTTTAGAATCAGCAACAATCAAGACTTAATCAATGGATTAGCAAAGACAAAGAAGAGAACAGCGAATTTAGCAGGGCGCCTGGTTCCTCTTCTAAGCCAGTAGCTACCTCGCCCAATATGGCTCCACTTGGATTAACTCAATCGGACGGGTAAGTGACGTTTCTGTATCAGTGTTGCCAACTTATAATATCCTCATTTTTGAATCTTTTTTCAAATATTGCTCAAAGTGAACCTTTGAAGGGTTTTAAATATTACTAAAATTGTTGCAGTCCATGGTCAAGTGGACGCTCCGGTGATACGGGTTGGCCAGATTCCAGCGGTGGTGATACTTCGAATGACGTAAAAGACGCACAGTGGGCAACGACTGCTCAACCTTCCCTGACTGATTTAGTACCTGAATTTGAACCTGGAAAGCCCTGGAAAGTAAGTACTTTTTACATTATTGTTCAGTTTCGGTAGTTCTGTTTATTATTTACTTCATTTGTAATAAAAGAGGAACTGTAATTTTGTATTGAAAAATATTAATAAATTCGTGTTCCTTTTTTTCAGGGCAATCAAATAAAGTCTATTGAAGATGACCCTACTATTACGCCCGGATCTGTAGTGCGTTCACCGTTGTCAATCGCCACTATCAAAGAGAACGAACTTTTCAGTATTAACGCGAACAAGAGTCCTCCAGCTACCGACGCGATGCAACCGCTCAGCTCAACCACGTGGAGCTTCAACCCGCCCACCACTAATGCTTTCACAAGGTAAGGATATAATCTATAAAGATAAACTTGTTATGCAGGGTGTCCCAGAAATAAGTGCAAATATTTTAAGGGGTGGTAGATCTCGATAAAAGAAACATATTTTCTCTTTATCGTTTTTCAAATAAGTCCAAAATAACGGAGTTATTTTACTTTGAAAATTTCCAAAATAAATAATTTTTTGCTAAAATTTTGAGAACCACTGGATCTTTTCTGGATTTTCTTTCTTGTAAATTTAATCTAATACCTATGTTGACATATCATCAACAAATTATGTTTTTTAACTAAAAAATAAAAAAAAATCCAAAAAATTTCGAATTTTCAAAAAAAAATTTTCGCGAAAAAAAACTTCATAGGCGTGTTTCTGGGATTGAATTATACTACCAGTTAAAATATTTGCACTTATTTCTGGGACACCCTGTATAAGAGAACCTGTAAAGCTCCTCCTACCCATAACGCTTTCCTTGTCAGTTGTATGTGTCAGGTAAAACAGAAGACCGTCTAGAAAGCTGACGGTCTTGCGTCTTAAGGCGGAGTCTGGTTGTATACTGGTTGTATTTAAAGACATTTGATTGGTTAGATCAACTTTTAATTTCTAACCACAATTTCTCTTGACAGAAGATAATCAAAGGCCAAAATAACATTTCTCTTGCAAATTTTGAAGTATAATTAGTGGAAAAGTTAAAAGTTTGGTAACTTTTTCTACTAATTGAAAATGTCTACCACCTAATTTTGACTTTCTGAACGCTTACATTGAAATTAAAGGAACAAAATTCTACACTAATTGAAACCACTAATCTATTCCACTAATTGCGAGGTTCTGAATGAAGCTTAAATGTCTCAAATTTGTCAACAAAAAAGTAAGGTTAGATTACAGTTATCAAAACATCCGTCTTGGTTGACGGACCGGGGTTACAAATTTTTGGATGAAAAGTGTCGCGAAAACACTATGACCAATCAGAGCGCCGCGCCATCGGATTGTAGTATCAACGGATGACGGATACGTGAAATTCCACCTTTAACTCCGTTTAGAGTCTAGACATGACGTTTTACCAGGTAAAACGAATTAATACCTCAGGGGGTTCTTGAACTGAGCCAGGAGCTCGACAAGAGGACTACGGGGTACAACGCCCCCGAGGTTACCTGAGTCACACACACACACCCACCCGCACATGATTGCAAAAAAAGATAACTGTAAGAGCGGACGAGGTAAGAAAACGCCAGCTGGCGTAATCAACACCTCATCGGAAAGAGAGCTACTTGCTTCCACTTAGGAGGCAGTGGTTTATAAGAGCGACAGTGCGGGAAGTACCAGACACAGTTTATCCCGGTCACAAAACAACCCCAAAAAAGTCGATAGCACTAGTCATAGTGCAACATCGAAAAAACCCAAACCCTTGAGCGCTCCAGCGGTTCAAACAACTATACCAGAAAGCTCTGTACATTTTGGGCAAGCTTGCCAAAAATGAAGACAAAGGTATGGTGAATGACCGCGACAGTGATGAAAAGCTGAAGTACCAAGCAGTGGAAAGAGTATAAAGGGATGTTTAGACTCTCTGATAATTTGTACAAACTGGCTTGTGCACGCCAAAGTGTACCAATAAATCGTAAAATGCAGAAATCGCTATAGTTCAAAAATTTGTCTTGAACAAAATCTGTCTCAAAAAATACCTATACCTCTGTAGCGGGTTCATCTCTCTAAAAAAGTCCTATGGGTATTTCGCCATTGTAAGAAAATCTACAAAATAAAATAGTTATTTTTTGTTAGCAATGGTTTACTAATAACAAATTTGCCTGACGGACAAAAATGCTTACCGTTTCGGAAAGTATATCTCTTTCCGTCGTCGAAAGCAAAAAAATAACACAAAAGGCAAGGAAAAAAACTTTCAAATATCTAAATGCAACTATTCGAGAACACTTTAGTTTTTTTAAATAGATACGTCTACAAAAACCGTTGACGTTCTGTTATAATGACGTTATATCAAGTTAAACTTCAAAATTTATAATTACTACCTGAAAACATTTTCTTAATAAAGTAAAACCAAAAAGCTTCAAACTTTCTGTATGATTATTTTTAATTTTTTAAGTATGTTATGTTTTTTTATGTTATGTTCTTTAAAATCAAAGAAGCGATTGCCATACATTACTAACATCTACAGACGCATGAGCAATACATTTATTTTTATTAGGTTATATTATAATCTTTTTTATTTTTCTCTTAGAGGCTATTGCTTCTTCCATTACCATTTTTAAAAATAACTATTTTATTTTGTAAATTTTCTTACAGTAGTGGCGAAATACCCATAGATTTTTTTGGAGAAAATCTGTCTCGTCTTGATTTCTAATTGAACGTTACAACACAGTTTAAGATAATTTCGATATATTTGTTGGTTGAGATTTAACCACAAAATTTGTTTATTGAATGTTTTTAGACTGTTTAAACAGAAATCGTCAGAAGAATTAATAGCATCAACTCACTGAATGTGTAAAAGAAAGATATATTAGTACAAAATGGATTTCACAAACCAGTTTGCGCAAATTTTGAGAGTCTAAACTCCTCTTTAAGCTCAAAAAATCCGATGCAAAGGTTACTGAGGCTACCAAGAGGCAGGGTTCTCAAGGCGAATCACCAAAAACCAAGAGAACCAAAGTTTCTGGAACAAAACACACCAGTCAGCCGTCGACTAGTCGAGAGGGCTAACCCAAGAACGGTAAACTAATAGGATTGCCCATTCTAATAAGACGTACGTTCGCCTCTTCCCGCGCTTCAGCTGACAGTTGTGACGTCATTGTAGTCCTTGTCAAAGCCTTGTCATGATAGTGTGTATTATTAGTTGCCTATGGTAAACTTATGAAAATAACAGCTGAGAAATTTTGAGTTAATTATTTTGTCAATTTTAAATGTGAAAAAGGTGTCTTTAAAGTTGTTAGAGCTATAGAGTGTATAAATACGTTCATTTTGTGTTGTGGATTGTGACAAAGTGCATACTAAGTGCCCACGATTTTGTTTATTAATTATTTTAAAGCAAAATATGGAAGTACTCTAAAAAGAATGCTTGCAAAAGGTGATGCTGGGACCTGCTGTTCTTAAAATGCATTATCCAAGTATTTAATACGATTTATACAGTTAATTTTCTATACTGCATACATATAAGGTGTTTAAATAAATAAACTAAATAATGGACGTTTTGCATTCGGTAACCAATAATGCACGTGTGTGTATTATTGGTTGCCGGATAAGGACTTATAACCATGACAAGGGCTACAATGACGCCACAAAGCGAGTAGTTTTTGCATGCACCTGGCGGACACTTTTGGCTGAATGAGCAGTCCTATTAGGTTAACTGTTCTTGGGGCTAACCAACGAGCTGGTACGCAACCACCTCAGGTTTGCTCTCGTGACTGAAAAGTCGACCAAAACTGACTAACCGTGGTTAATGATCGAAATGATCGATTTTGAGAGCACAGAAGGAGCGCCTCTTCCTTGTTTTGAGTCCCCTGAAATTATCAGAGGATATCTGGTGATCAGGTGGGGGGATTTTCTGGACGGCATCGTTGCCAGGATTAGGCGACGAACCAACGAAATTCCCAGAGACTGAGTGCTCACATCTGGTTGCTTAAGATGCGGAACGAGGGAGGGAAGCTTCTGAAACTGCTTATAACGAGTACATACTAGCGTTTTGATTACGGCAGTGATGGCGAACATGTGACCCTATCGTGAGTCAGTCAGTGTCCTACTTTGTTTACAGGGGTTTATTTTGGTTTTCTAATTTGTGTGGATAATTTATATTTTATTTGTATTTTTACAGGCATTGACACAAAAGCAATTTAAATACTGTCTATAACCTTCAGTTTGATTTTTTGTGTTTGCAAAATACCAAAGTGTATAATTTTACTCATAGTTTGTTTTTGAAAAAAAAATCGTTAAACCACGCCATTTTTACTAGTTAAGCCAATTGGATTTTAAACATGTTTTTTTAAATACTCAGTAAAATTTTTTAAACTTAACTCTGGTACAAAGGAGCATCGGTGACCTACAAGCTAGTAGTAAAAAAAGTATGAACAAAATTTGACCCACGCGTTAAAAAGGTTTGTCATCCCTGACCTACGGTTTTTACGAATTATAACATAACATTATGTTTAAAGTGAAGTTGAAAAGCGTAAACATGGATTTTTATTACAAACTTATATTTATGCTTCAAAGTTCATTTGTAAACTCAAGCTAATTGTGACATTGACACTGTGTTTTTTGTTCTACACACAATGTTTATTTATTTATTATTACAAACGGTAATCTATTTTACATTTACAAGTCAAATAAAAAAGACATACATAAATATCTAAAAGTAAGGAAACAAACAATATGTAAATACAATACATACCTATGAATATCAAAGATATATGAATATATAAGTGTAATCTGGAAGACACTCTTAAAATCATTTTTAAAACAAGAAAAAATACTTTCACACATTACAGTTCAACCATAATTCTTCCCAGTCTAGTTAAATAAATGTATTATAGGGCACTCCTAAAATGTAAAAGGTTTTCATTCAAGCATTAGCTGGTTAAGAGGCATATTTTGATAATGCCTCATATTGAATTTACCATTAGCCAGCATATTATTATGATGAAAGTTTCTAGGGTTAACTACAAAGTTTATTCGTTCTATTAAGTCAGGAGAAATTATAACATTATATAACAATTTAAAAATAAAACACTTATCTCTCCTGTCTTCTAATGAATTTATAGGTTAAGACTGACATGTAAAACGTTATGTGTTAAATTGAAACCCTATTTTAAATGATTAAAAACAACGGATCCAATTACTGAAAACAATTGCGGATAAACTCCTAAATGATATTTTTTCTTAAACTCCCACCACTTTCTTTTACATACTCCCAATTTTTACCACTTGTGTTTTTTTTTTCAATTTCTTTACAGCAGTCCTCAAATCAAACTGCCCAGCAGCAGGGGCGGCCTCGGCGACCTGAACCCTGCCACAGCTGTCACCTCGGAGCTGTGGGGGGCGCCCAAGTCGCGCGGCCCGCCCCCTGGCCTATCGGCGAAAGGAGGCGGTGGCGGCGGAGGAGGAGCCTCCTTGGCCAACGGCTGGACCGGCCAGTTGGGCGGAGGCGCGGCCTCTTGGGGAGGCAGCGCCGGCGCGGGACAGAGGAACTCTGGAAATTGGGGCGGCAGCGGAGGCGGATCCTCGCCGTGGCTGTGGCTGAGGAATTTGACGGCGCAGGTGGGTTTTAGGAACAGCTAATAACATCAGTAAATTAGCATAAAAATAAAAATTAACAAAAGTCGCTCACGTGTCTTTACAAAAGTGTTTTGTTTGCATTTTTATAAGTTTCAACTTATCTGTTTTTATTTGAAAAATCTGTGCGTGGATATTGTGAGATTTATTATATTTTTTTTTAATTATAAACTATGACAGAAATTATATGCCATGGAACTCGTATGGTGCATGATTTGCGGAATTTACAGCAACCTTATGATTAATAAAATTTTGTTGCAGATTGATGGATCTACACTAAAGACGTTGTGCATGCAACATGGTCCTTTGCACAGGTTTCACCTTCAACTACATCAAGGATTTGCTCTTGCCAGATACTCATCTGTTGAAGAAGCCACAAAGGTATGTACTTTGCTTTGCAATATTTATTAGTTTTTTCCTTCATCGTTTTCCTGAATGATTATAAATTGGATCCAATTCATGAAGATTTTGATTAAAAATTTTACTATGACTAAATAAATTTAAATTGTTTTCATTGCTATTTTTATGACTTGTAGTTAATAATGTCATGTAATTTTAGGCTCAGACTGCTCTAAACAATTGTGTACTTGGTAACACTACAATTTTGGCTGAGAATCCTACTGACTGGGACGCCAATTCGCTTTTACAAAGCATTGCCAATCAACAAGGAGGCTCTTCGGGAGGATGGCGCAATTCTTCTTCTAAGCCAGGTATGGTTGAATCTTCACAATCACCCAGTTATAAAAAGTTACATCGTTTTATTAATCTGTGCCAACTGTTTGAAAACTATTCCCAAATTTGTTTTTTTTTAAATTAATCATAAATTTTCATTCAAAAAAATTATGATGAAACCGTTTCTGATTATTATTTATATATTTGAGCATTTTGTGAGGACGGTTGAGTAAATTAACAAAAAAAATTGATAACAGTCATAGGTTAACAGAATTGAAGTGATTTTACAGAAAAAAAAATATAAATATCGAATATGATATTTTTTTGTAGTTTTATGGGAAAATATTTGAAATTTTCGATTGGTGTTATTTTTGATTGCTGATATCTTTGAGATGGTTGATCTGACGATCTTCAACCTTCAGACATTTTTTGTAGAGCGTGAAATTTCCTATAAATCTTCTCACGAGGACGTTGCGAAAACAAACCATTCGGAAATTATTCAAATTCAACCTTAATATTAATATTAAGGTTTTACTAGGCGCCAAAATTTTGTTTTTAAATGTACTTTCAACTCTTCAACACCATAAGAAAAAAAAAAAATTTTTATTTTGAAATACCCTAACGCTCACAAATTTCAATACATTTTGTGTTTTGCAGGTGGCGACACGTGGAGCACAGGTTGGTCCAACAACCCCTCTAGTCTATGGACCAACTCCTCCCTCGACAGCGCCGACCCCGCCCGGGCCACGCCCTCCAGCCTCAACTCGTTCCTGCCCAACGACCTGTTGGGCGGCGAGTCCATGTAAAACGAACTAATACTGAGCGACAACAAAAAACAAAGAGGTGAAAAGAAAAACATGCTAAGAACAAGCGATATTAAAACAAATAGTTAAGCTCTAGTTAGAAAGACGCGCTTTTTTCACGTTTAACTATAAGTTTTACACAACAAAATTTTGTTGATATTTACCATTTTGACTCTTTTATTGTTATTGTAAATGTATATTATTACATACCGACTTTTACGCGGCAATTTCGAAACGATTGTTGTTTTTAGAATGTTTTTTGTTTTTTTTTATTATTACGGTTTAGATTATAAAATTTTAGGGCAGGCGGTTAAACCAAATGTAACGTGATTCCTGTATATTGCGATATGAAATTGAAAGAAGATTTTTATTTATTTTTGAAGTTGCCATTTGTTTTTTTTCTCTTTCTATTAATCAAATATGTTTGTAGTATTTTATTATTTTCGAATTGGCTATAGCTTGACAATGGGGAGGAGGGAGAGTAGCTTTAAACTGAAAATGAAACCGGTCGTCGCGCGACCAGTTTTCTTTTTATCATGATAAGTGACTTAAAATGAATAGACACGATCGCCAACGCGTTCGGTACTGAGCTCAATTTTCAAACGCACTTAGCGACCTATATAGAAAAAAATTGAAAAAAAATCATATAAAATGTAACCCGAACTAGTCCACTTTAAGCAAGGTTTAAGATTTAATATATTGTATATTGAAATATATATGTATATTATGTGACCAAAACACTCATGATAATTAATTACATTTTATATATATTTTGAGCTCTTAGACGTAATAATATATTATATTAGACTTTTCTCGTAATTGCATATTTTCCTAAATATTAACACTATTATATATTATATTATTAACGTTGTTTTAGTTGTTTAATCGTAATTTAAAGTACCTAAGTTATTTTTTACGGACCCGGTGTGGTTACAATTATTTTCGTGGCATGTGTATCCTATTTCTTTTATTATTACTATTAATAATTATTTTCGAGCGTTTTTATGCATTTGCTGGGGTATATTAAGTACGATGAGGGTGCTAGTTTTCGTTTCTTCTATCGTATAAGGGGGCGTGACTCCGAACGGGCCCCGCCCATTCGAACTCCGCCTCCACTCTCTATCCCCGCAGAACCTGTGATCTCTTATTCCTGATATATCAAAATACACTTACAAATATACATGTTTACGTAAGCTGTTATCTAAAGTAATTTTTTGGGTTGGATTAGTCCCAAAATAAAAAAAACACCACACAATCAGTTTTTAGACTGCACGCAAAATGAAAAGTATTCATAAACTTAGTAATAAAATTCTTAAAAAAAGAAAACACTAAAAATAAAACCAATATATCGTTCTAATTAATAATAAAATTTAATATATTATAATATACCCTTATAATTATATGATAAATGTGTATTTAATGGATGTGTTAGCCGTAGACATTGAATATCGTTACATTTTTTAGTCTGTATACTGTGATTGTCTTCGATCACAATAAGAGAAACAAAAACGTGTTATTGTGGTGTTCATACGAGATTCAACTTTATAGCTAACAGTGTGGAAGGGAATGAAAGACGCCTAAAAGTCTCCTTTTCGTTATTTTGAACATTCGAACAAACAGGGTTGGCAAATGGAAAGCAAGCGAGCAAGCTGGTCGTTTTTAGTTTAGTTTTAATTTTTACGATTATTTTTATTGAATATCTAATAAATATATATATTTTAAAAGTGAATTTGCGAGGCACTCTACCCGGTTTTTGCCTTAACAATGCTGCTGTTTGAGCTGTGATGTATTTTTGGACTTAAATAGAATTTAAACCGCGTTAGGTTTCATCGAGGATCATCTCATTTTTCCACTACTTACAAATAATTCGCGTAAGGCAGCTGAACTAAGAGCGGAATCGAGTCCAAATCGCCGATTTTTTTTTTCGGTTTACATAGAACTAAACGAAAATTTTCTGAAAACTTAACATTTTGGGCTTTGATCAGTTTAAAAAAGTTCTGAAAATATGAGGTTATAAAGTTTTCAACGCCTTGACAAGGGTTTGACTGTTATCTGACGTCAAAATCTGATACGTCATTGAAAGAAGACAAAATAAAATTAAAAACTAGTCAACAAGAAGAACATATTTTTTGCAATAAAATTTTCTTAATATTAAAACTATTGTCAAAATTGTCATAAATTCTTTACTATTTTGGTACGGAGTACCAATCTAGTTTATATTTTATAAATTTTATGCTCAACTATTCATAAAAACCTAGGTGCAATCAAAGTTTATATCCAGTGTATATACATATAAATCCTCATAAAGCTTTATCGTGATGACGTCTGTTTCTCGATTTGATAAAAAAAATAGTTAATTTGCAACGTTAAAGAAGAACTTCAAATGATTCATTAAATAATCATGGCAAAATTTGAACTAAAGTGTAGAAAAAGTAAAATTTTCGTTTAGTTCTTAACATAAAAATATATTTTGTTCGATTCCGAACCCGTTACTATCCTGAACTTATATTTATTGATCGCAAGTATTTATCTAGTCCTTTTTTATCTCGTGTGTTTTTAGTGTTGTTTCCATTTGCGCAAGTTACCTAAGAAAACTCTAGTTAGGCGAAAAGACTGAAGCGAATAAAGTAAATCATGAAATTGTTGTTATTTTATCGTGTGCATTTATATGTCCCGTTTGGTGCGGTGTTCAAACTAACTCGAGACGCGAAGAGCCAACCTTTCGTTTGGTATTCACAGGAGAAAAAGATCATTTGAATGAACTAACAGTTTTAAAAAAGAGTACATAACTGTGCTGTGACTTTTAAGTGGCTTTTTAATTTTTAAAAATAACCATAAAAAACAAGAAAAAAAACTGTTTCTTTTCTTACTTTATTATTAGCTTTTAAAAATGTCGAACGTCAGCTTGGTGGATTAAAGAACTCATCATACAAGTCATATCGTGCACAAATAACGGAACAATAATCGAACTTATATCAGCGGGAGACGAAAGAGAAAAATATAAATTTTATTTTTTTGAAAGCAAGCTAGATTCGATCACAATTTTTCTAAATCGTAACGTTTAATCCACCCGGCGGACGTTTGTTGAATTTAATGGTGCAAAATTGGCTGTTTTTTCCTAGCCGGTCGTCACACACATGCTTTAAATAATTAAAAGGAAATTAAATGATAAAACGAGGACGCTTTATACGAAAACCTTCTAGGAAAAAATAAGCCTCTCTCAAGTTCCAATAGAGAATATTTAGTATCTTATTGCCAATTTACATTTTAGTATATATGTATTAGACTTTAGGTATTACGATATTAATTAGTATTTAAGGAATTTGGTAGTAGGGATATAAATGTGTGTTCTTATATAATCAATCGGACAACCACAAAACTCTGAATCATACGTTTTAATTATTAGATTGTAATATGACCTAACCGCGAAAAGACTCGTACGATGTGCGCTATTTTGCGAGCCTAGGTGTGCGAAAGGGCTCACGCAAGCCCTACCCCATTTGTAAACACCGAGGCCTTCATCGGGGTGGTTTCGATTGGTGCGAAGAAATGATAGTTACCCGCGTTCACGTGCATTCGGTTCGCTCAATTAACCACCCTCTCTTTATTTTTCGAAAAAATGAAAGAAGATGGTACGACTTTTTTTCATATCTTTATCAAACTGGGCGAAGAACAGAGTCGATCTTCAGATTTTGACCATACTATGCGCAATAAAAGGGGCTGAACAATTTGTTTTCACTCTGCTCACGAATAACTATTAGGGAATAATTACAAAATCCTCTTTCTCTCTATATATGTATGTTTAAGTGTAATATAATTATATTTTTTAATATAGTACTGAAATCCGCCACTACAAAGTACCACTTTATCAGGTTTTCGGTTTGAACTAAACGGTACACACCGTTCGTTCCTATTTAGGCATATCGTTTCCTTGGAAAAGCCTAAACTTTCAGCTATAGAGATGTGTCTCATATATAAAGTCTGAGACAGATTTTTTCTATTCACAATGCTTAGAAAATTGTTTTTTTTTATATAATACACCCATGATACAAGAACGGTTAGATAAGATATTATGTAGTATGTAGTGGGCGGAGCTTAACAGAAAATTACTACGTGACGTCATGTGGGCGGAGAACAAATTTGCGACCGCCAAGGATCTTATCTTCCGTTATTTGCTGTCCTCCATTCGCGAATTTCAAGTTCCAGAGCTTTACGCCCTGGGCTACTCGAGAACGGTTCTGAAAGGAGCTGTGCGCGATAGCCTGGTGTCTTCATATGGCGCGGTACAGTTCTAACACAGTTCTGAACTTTATGACTCAATTGAATGGAGGGAGAGTATCGCGTTCTTGAACAGTTCAGAGCTGCACAACTGCGTGAATGGAGAACAGTAATTGTATCATGTAATACACCAAAATACTTTATTTTAAATTCTCTAAAAAGAGTTGAGATATTTTTTTGACTCTCAAGTATTGGGATAACTTTTATTATTTCTGTATCTGTGTCTTATCATTATTACTTCACTATTTAGAATGCATTTTATCGGTAAATATCTATTTAAAATTTGAGTTACATTGTTTTACATATAATTGACGCATATTTTTATACAGACCTGGACATACCAAATCGGTGGTCTGGATTTTAGCTAAAGAGCGACAAGTGGGCTGATAATTTCTATGCGGTATTGCCGCATTTTTCAATAAAACTTAAAACTAAACAAGGCGTTTTGAACAGTCTTGCAGCAAGGGTTAGACCGTTATTATAGTCACGTAATCTTTTAAATTCTATGGGTGCTTAAATCAAATGTAAGAACCGGCAACTCTGCACTTATTTGTATCTGTCTTATCAACTGGTTATAACTACATAAGTCAGTCCTTTATCTCTATTTTACTCATTAAAATACAGACCACCGATTTAGATCAGACGGTATGTATACTTATCTGACTACTAGTAGTAGTCAATAAATACACGAACAGCTTGGGTGTAAAAAATCTCTTGAACTGACTTTATATGTGTGATACTAACTATACTGAAATTTTAGGGGGCAGTTAACGAAACCGATTATAGTAAAACAATAATGAATCAAAAACCAAACAGTTTACTCACCTAATGCTTTGAAGTGGATTTTTACCAGTGATCTATGTATTAAGTTAAGATAATTTGACAGTTGTAGATAGACGCCACTTCACACAAACTGAACGGTATTTTTCGGCGGTCATCTCCAACTGCCAAAGCAGTATTGTGATTTACTTACTAATTTAATGAATTTAAAATGAAAAATTGAAATTATAAATTTTGCATTTTGGTGTGAAACTCTTAAAATGCGAATTTATATTCCAGTAATTGTTTATGTCTGATATTCGTGTACCTTTCAATATGTAGGTTATAACGTTGTTTATTTAAAGAAAAAAATATATATTATTAAAAAAAAACAAAAAAAAACTTAGACTATAAGTATATTATAAGCTCAGCTTAAATAAATATCATAAATTAAGTAGGATAGATTCTGCACAACAACAAAAGAAAAAAAACTACATGTGGCTGAAAAGTAACCTTATTCTAGAACACATCAGACGACCCCCAAAAATATCTCGGAGCAATTTCTGAACAGAGCTGAACCTTTGTTACCTGATCTTTTGCAATACATTTAACAGCAACGAAGGAACACATACCGTTTATGTACAACCAGCAAATACTTGATACGTAACTTAAAAAAAATGAGAAAAAATTAAACCAAATTACTTAAATCCGCGCGCGAACTTAGCTAATTTTAATGTTGTAAAAGAAAGGAAACGAGAAAAAAAAGAACCGTTAGTATTTGATTTAGGTTTACAGTATTTGTGATCAAAGTGCCACTTGTGTTTTCAAGTATATATTATATATTTAATCATTGCCACTAAATACTATATATATTACATATATATTATTAATTAAAGAATATATTATATAATGAACATTATAGTAGTGGTAAATTAGAATATGAATGGCACCAAGGTGTCCCTAGTGTAGTAGACTATTCTCGGTGTTCGGTAGTTCTTAAGAGTTGTTTTACCCTGTCTTGACCTAATAAATATTTTTCGAAAAAAAACATCCTCTATATCTAAAAAAAAACGGGAAATATTCCTTCCGTTTCAAGACTTAATTATAATCGTACTGAATTTTTGTTGTGCACCTAAACTAAGGAAAAAAGCTTCTCTTTTTGTTTTGGAGGAAAAAATGCCAAAGTTGTGACAGAAAATCCCATCGACTCTTATTTTCCAAAATCATATCAGTAATAATAATAAATTTAATACCTTGAAACTTTCTGCGATACACCTATTGGGGTAGAATAAAGAAAAAAAAAACGTTTTTGTTTATTAATAACAAAGTGCGAATTCAAATCGGTCTTAATGCAACTTTGACAAGGTCACATTTAAGTCTGCCAAAAGTGTAATCCTGACTTATAGATAATATAAATATATAGAGTTATTTTTATGAATCGGCAATAATAATACGTTTAATTTTTAAAGTATATATGACTTTTTTAAAGAAAAAATGGATAATGCAATTTTTAACGCTGTTTTTTCTAAGATCACGTCGTGTTTCGGTGTAATATTATTAATAATAGATCAATAAAAAAAACGAGAACATTAAAACTATTTAAAAATAAGACAAGAAGGAATGCCAATGTCACGCAATCTGTAACGCTTGTCGCTTCTTGTATATTGTACGGTCGAAATCGTGCAAAATAAAAATATTAGCGCCGTGTTTAACACTTGATAATACCAATTGATGTGCCTCTTGACTTGTTATATAAATAAATATAAATTTGTAAAATTAAATTAACCGGTCGTGACCTGCTTGGTCTCTCAAGTCTTATCCCGCAAGAGATATCTCAATAGTACTAGTGAGCTTTAAGATTGACTGTTGTATTTGACATTTTTATTTGTTATTGAACGTACTATACCGGTTTACTCATGTCGATATTGAAAGAGCTCTATCTCCTGTCGATTATGTCAGTTAAAATGAACTGCTTTGTGTTTGTATTTGTTATTATTTAACCAAAACATCAATAAATGCGTGACCATCAAGAAAAAGAAGGCCATACAACTATGACGTAAAAGTCTGATACGTCATCAAAGAAAGGCCGAGGATAAACTAACTTAAAAATATTTTTTTTAACAACATTATTTGACATAACACAATATTTTTATCAATAATAACTTTGGATTACATTAAAAACAGTCAAACATTGTATTATTAACTTAAAAATAAAATTCAACCAAAGTTTGTATTTAGAGTGTGAAGGGGCCTTTTTCGCCTCTCTTCTATGCCGTCAGACGTGAGCCATCAGGCCTTATTTTTCTCGCTGGTAACGATAAATGTCAACCTTCATATAATATCAGTCTAAATATGCCGGATGACTAGTGTAATTTGACTTTTAACATCGACATGAGTAAACTAACTTGAAGTCTTTAAAAATGAACTATATATTCCTTTTTTATCGAATGTGTTGTAGCAAAGGCCATATTCTGAGCCTGATTTAAGAAAATAAAAGGTACGAAGTCCCTTTTTATGAATTTGTTTCGGTCGTAAATGTCGAAACGTCTGTTTGGTCCACAGTTGGGAGAAACTTACAAAAAAAAATATGGTTGAGGGGTAATTAAATCTAGTTCGTATACTTAAAACAATGGAAATGTTACTTATCTAGTGGCAGCATTTAGTCATTTATTATAACGTTTTAGTATTAATATGGATAGCGACAAGTTACATACTCTGTAATAAAATAGAAGAAAAAAAAACACTGTGCAATATACTTTATATAACTTACTGTCTGTCCTTTTCAAGTATTATTATATTACTACTAATATATAATCGTGTCACATACAAACATACGCTTTGTATTTCTAGTTGTTACTATATATATTTCCACCCCTTTCAATCTTCCTTTTTGCACAGATTTTCTTGCCATCGGTATGTGTATGATATTAAGTCTCTTTTATTTTTTTGTTTTATTTAAATACTCGTTACTATATACCAAAGACCACAAGTGTCATATATTTAAACGCTGAATTTATTAAATTTCTTCGAATTTCGCCAAATTCTTCCAACAAAGGTTGTGATAGTAATAGTTTTTAGTGCTTCTTATTCCGTATGCGCCGAGCATAACAAATATGTTATTTTGTTTGTGTTTTTTCCTCCTCGTTTACGATGATTTCAACATACCAGTGCGTTTTCTTTGCGCGTCACCGAGGAAACGGACCAACCGCGGACGTTTGCTCGGTGTTCGCCGCACAAAAACTTAAGTGCCTACGAATATGTGCAATTCAAAATAATATAAACGGGCCTGACTTTTAGACAGGGTTTTAATTAAAGAAAAATAAAACTATTTAGGCGAATTGAACGTGTGTGTATATTTTAAATAAAGCGGCTATGGTTGTAGCCCCCACCAATGTATAAAAATTAACGCAGAAAATAGTCGAAAATAGAACATAAGTAAGGGTGTGAGTTTTTGATTGACTTAGTTCGATCAGACGCGAACAAAAGCAAGTATAACCTCATTTTAATCTAGTACAATTCAACCTTTTTTTTTTTAAATAAACTTGCTTCTGTTCGAGACCTGTCGAAATGTAATTTTGTTGATCTCGTCCTCGGGCGACGATTTAAAGCTAGCATGGTACTGCCAACTGTAAAAAGAATATTGTATGTCCTAAGTATAATCAAAGAGTTATATGTGTAGGTTAATTGTACTATAACGTTTCGTTGATCGTACTAACCCGAAAAATAAAGGCGTTTTGTTTATCTGAACCGGAGCATATTCAAAAACGAAATTCAAAAATAAAGAAAGTAGATAGATAGCCGTGAGGTAAAAATGAAGCAGACGTTAGGCCCTCAGTCTCAGGTGTTTTAGAGTTTATCGTCACTCTTCTAGTTACGTAAGGTTTTTAATAATTAAGTCAAATATACTGAATAACTAAATGAAAATACATTCCTTAGGTAATCGAGTTGTTTTTAGAGATATCTTGTTAAATTATTTATTTAAATTTACGTTCAAAGAAAGAGACATTTTCGTTTTCGTTGTTTAGGAAATCAAAAAAAAAACTATATGAATAAAATAAATAAAGAATAAAAACGGTAATGCCTTAAAAATGACAAACAAGTGTGCTCTCTGTCTAGTATATCGTAGATTAATAAGATTCGTAGATAGATAAAAGCTCGTCGGATTTAAAGCGGTCAAGAGAGACCTAAAAGACTGTAGAGGGATACCGAGGGATTAACGGGACCTTTACTCTAACCCTTTTATTTCAGGGGGTTCCCTAAAAGTCCCTTTAAGACCGAGAACTTAGTTTCGGAGCCGGGAGAGAACACTAGGTCCACGATTAAAGGTGCTCTAAATAGCAGCTTAATTTGAATAATGTATTAAAAAAAGGAATCTCCAATATATATTTTTTAATATAGTCCGCCGAGGTATTTTCTTGTCATATCAAATGAATACTGATAGAAGATAAAAAAAGACACATTGGTTAATTAGTTAACAAAAAAAAACATAAAAAAACGATCGTGCCAAAATTTCGCTTAGAAACCTTTTGCTCATGGCGATTGCGGCGATGCCAAGTTTCCGTAGTCGCGTACGCTTACTTGCTGTGTATATTAACTTATAAATGCAATATGTGTATATATGGCTGATGAAATCTTGTACAATTGTTATAATTTCATAGTATATTATGTATTAACTACTTAATTATTAGTATAGGAAATGTGTTATGTATTTAAATATTAGGAACTGAATAAAAAAAACAAAAAAAAATCCAAGTTTCTCCCAACTGTGGCGTGCAAACGTTTCGTCGTTTGTGGACTAACGATTAACCAAACTTATTTACAGATGTTTATGATTAATAATGTATAAGTGCATCCTATTTTGTCGCATTTTATCTATATATACAACATCGGACTGTGGAAAGAAGTAAAAAATCTTTGTTTACATTTTGGGCGAGGACTGAATTGTGATTTCGTTTGTTTTGTGATATGAGTACAATTTTTGTGATATACTTGGATATTTATAGTGTATTAAATATTAATAATAAATAGCTTTAGGTAATTATTTCGGTATAAATAAAATAATATGCGAAAAAATAACGGCTAATTTGGGCGTCTGATATTAGTCCAAAATATACGAGTTTTAAAGTTTAAAAATACTATTGAGTTAATATTAAATGTTGTTAAAGCCCGGTTGACACGGTACCAGTCAAGTACACTAAGATGCTGCCATATACAGGGCGTCCCAATATTCCGTGGACATAGAGCTACTACGTATTTTTGGAATTAAAAGAAGTTCATTTGACACAATTTACCTCTATACAAAAGTGCTTTGTTTGTCCGCTAGAGGGCATTAAACTTTAAAAATAATCACATTTTTTCAGATATTTTAAGAACCATTATTCCTATTTGAATGAGATTTTGGGTGTCTTTGTTTTGCTAAGTGGTTTAACATTTGATATTCACAAAAATCACACAAGCAAAAATACGGGAAGGGTGAAAACTATCTCCACCCCTACATAAATTTTAGTATAAATATTTTCCAACTCAACCGACGACTCTTTTCGTTAAATGTTCCTTCTAGTATTTACTACATTTTTTATCTCTTGTTAAAAAAACGCCACAACGCATAGTTTTTCAGAAAAAAATTTTTGAATACTTATTTTTCCAAAACAGACCTACAAAACAGGGACTTCCAATATTTCGTGGACTTAGAACAACTGCGTATTCTTTGAATCAAAATAAATTAATTGCACATACAATTACACCCTACAAAAGTGCTTCGTTTGTTCGTTAGAGGGCATCAATCAAAAACAAACCCGAACGTTAATTTAAGTTATTCATTTTTTCAAACTTTTATGAAGATATAGAGGTAAATACAGTTATTTGGCAACATCCAAGTGTACTTGGTCCAAGTACACTTGGACCGTGTCAACCCGCCTTAATAGATTAAAAGAAGAAAAAAAAATACTGGTACAGAGTAAAATCAGAAGACCCACGAAGCCTAATGTAAGAAGTCTCGTTCCGAGGCGATCTATTACCCTTTTAATGTTCTTTTTAAAGAAATTAAATCCAGTCAACTTAAAAATGAGAGAAAATTCTTGTCCTAATCTCTAGTACAATCGATAGGTGTTTTTTCGACATCTACAAGAACGGTCCGACTCGCCTAGATGTAAACAAAGATCCTTTCTTCGCTGTATAACAATAATACTAATATTATTTAGCATCACACATGACTCGGTCGGTTGTTTTTATTCGACCGCAACAAATGGCCTAAAAGTTCCCTCCTGTTTCAGTCTAGTCCTGTTTCGATTGCCCATACTGATGCGAACATGTTATTCCATGTCTATTGTCATTCTTGTGTTTCGTATATGTGTTTACTTCGTCATCCCCTAAGCCCTCTATACGAACCTTCCAAAAATATGAAGAAAATTCCAAAGTTCCTTATGTTGCCTGTAAGTTTACGAATTTAGTCTTTACTTCGTATGGTTGTGTTTTTTTATATTATTGGAGACACGGTTGATTTTGATTGTGTATTTTTCGTGTTATGTATCATCAATATTATTCATTCAGAGTCGAATAAGGCAATATGAAATTTCCTGTAATTGACAGATTCAAATATGTGATATTGCTGACAATTTAAAATTTTAATATTTATCCGCTACTATTATCTACAGTGTCTAGAGAAAATAAACATCGTTTGACTGACGGTATGATTATACCGTCCAAAAAAATAACTGATCGTTATTTTTCTAGTTGGATTGTCTATAAGCGCTTGCAAAGGGGTATTTTCTATGAAATTTATAGACAAAAAGATCTATCGACAAAAAAAAACAAAGTCTGATCTGAAAAATTAATTAAAATGAAAAAATAAATAAATAAGACAAAACGAATCTCTGATATTGACAGTTTTTAGAATAAACTTAAAAAAATACATGTCACACTGGGAGGGTAAACTCAGGGACCAGGCCAAAAGTCACGGTGATATCAAGTTAGACAAAAATAAGAAAATCAAATGAGATGATAAAATAATTACACCCCTTTAAATAATAGTACACTTACTTATAAAATGAAAACTCAATTAAATGTCGTAGAAAATTATTTTCAAGTCTGTATAAATATTTTGAAAGTTATTAAATTAAATGCACCCTGCTGCACTGTTGTCGCGATTTAATTCTAAATTTTTTAGTGAAAAAAAAATGAAAATGAAATGCCTATATAATATTTATGCGAGTCCAATCAAGTCTCCCAACAATAATAAACATATACAGTGCAGATGGGCGCCTAGGATTAAGTTAGGTTATGTAAGTGCTTTTGAACAACATCCTGTTGTTTACGCTCTGTACTTGTAACCCAAATGACCAGTATGCATTCAGTAATAAAGGTTGTCTTAATGTATTTGGTTTTGTTTATTTCTAACCCTTTCCCTTGATACCCTAATCCCTAAAGGCGAGTTGGTACAGTCCAAGTGTACTTGGACCAAATACACTTGGATGCTGACAATAATGCTGCGCGCGTCTCACTTATTCGCTGCTTGTATTGTATTAACTATTTTATTCAAGACAAGTCGGAAGGCTTCGTAACATTCAAGTTAGTAGGCTGGCTGCCAACTTACATGGATGTTACGAGACCTTATAACTTGGCTTGGATAAAACAGTTGATATAGTCTGTGAAACGAATAACTTTGAATTTGACAGTTCCCGCGGGCTTTTCTAGTGTTAATTTTATTAGGTTAGCAACTTGCGGCCATGCTGACGCAATGCCTTCTCTAATAGAACAGCCTCGGAGCGAGATTTATGACGTCACGCTAGTTAGATACTACGGATTAATAAATATGTTGTAGAATACATGGAAAATATAATTATTCCTCGTATTTTTGGTTACATTGATTATGGCTGAAATCGTACTCCATAGTCAATGTAGATAGTTTTAGTGTTAAGAATAATAATTTTAAAAAATATGTGGTTGCCTAGATAATGGGTACTATAAATAATAGCTTCATAATTTTAAGTAAATTTTGGATTTTTTTTGTTAAAACAATTTTCCCCTATCTGCTAAAATAAAGTGGTGGGGGAAGGTTAGATCTATCTTTATTTAAATGTTAATAACTCCGGACTGGATGATCAGAATCCAACAAACGAGGGCTCGTTTAAAAGAGTGTTTCTTACTTTATATTATACCATAAAAATAATAATAATAAGGTTTTGAACGTAGAAGCTAGGGGGCGCTTTTTTACAATTTAAGCATTTTTTCAAAAAAATTAAGTACGATAGTATGTACTATTTTAGCTGGTTGTAAAGAGTAGTAAAAGCTTAAAAAGTCAGCGAAAACCGCATCTTGATTTCTTCTTTCAAACCGAAGATATTAGCAAAATTATAATAAATACCAAAAAATAAGCCCTTAATTACCTTATTTTTATACAGTATCAGTAGCCCTCTTGATTAGGCCCATTCTAACAAAAAATAAGATAGAAATAGTTAGTTTATTTTAAAATCCACGAAATACCATAATACCAGATGTATTAATATCTAATAATTAAGATATTTATTATTAATAATAGTGAACAGGAAACAGTGAAGCCATGGTAGGCTTTGGAAAAAAGTTGCTTTTGACGTAATAGTATAAACGTCAAATTGTTATTAGATCAACATTTGATAGTCTTAGCAACGTTTTTTTTTATCTTTTAAATGGTTTTTCAAAATGCCTTTATTATTTGAAGTAGTTGAAGTTGTTGGCATTGTGAAAAAGCAATCAAAAGATAAAAAACGCTGCTTAGAGTATCAAAATGTTGATCTAATAACAATTTGACGTTTATACTATTACGTCAAAAGCAACTTTTTTCCAAAGCCTACCATGACTTCACTGAATCATCTTTTCTTATTCACTGTTATTAATATCTTAATTATTAGACATTAATACCTCTGGTATTATGATATTTTGATATTTCTTCGATTTTAAAATAAACTAACTGTTTCAATCTTATTTTTTTGTTAAAATGGGCCTAATCAAGAGGGCTACTGATACTATATTGTAAAAATAACGTAATTAAGGGCTTATTTTTTGGTATTTATTATAATTTTGCCAATATCTTCGGTTTGAAAGAAGATATCAAGATGCGGTTTTCGCTGACTTTTTAAGCTTTTACTACTCATTACTATCAGCTAAAATTACATATACTATTGCATTTATTTTTTTGAAAAAACAATGCAATGTTTGTTAAATTGTAAGACAACGCCCTCTAGCGTCTACGTTCAAAAGCTTAGTATTATTGTTTATATGGTAAAATATAGAGTAAGAAACGCTCTTTTAAACGAGCCCTCGCTTGTTGGATGCCGATCATCCAGTCCAGAGTTATTAATATTGAAATAAAAACAGATCTAACCTTCCCCCACTACTATATTTTGGTAGATAGGGGAAAATGGCCCTAACAAAAAATATTCAAAATTTACTGAAGATTATGAAGCTGTTACTTATAGTACACTTTATCTAGGCAAAATTGTGTAAAAACTCCATTTTCTTATTTTTTGTTGCAGTTGCGCCCCCTAGCGGTCGTTATACAAACTTGAAAATGATTTCCAGCAATTTCCCATAGCCTCTTTAGTTAGGTATAAATATTTTTTTCCGCAGCCGCTACGGCTAATACTTTCCGAGATACAGCCGAGAGCTATTCTTAGTGGGACACCCTGTACAGGGAGAGATACATACACCCTGTACAGGGTGTCCCACTAAGAATAGCTCTCGGCTGTATCTCGGAAAGTATTAGTCGTAGAGCTTGCAGAAAAGAATATTTATAACTAAAGAGATCATGAGAAATTGCTGAAAATTATTTTCAAGTATGTAGAGTGGTCGCTAGAGGGCGCAACTGCTATTAAAAATAAGAAAAAGGAGTTTTTACACAATTTTGCCTAGATAACGGATAATATAAATAATAGATTCATAATCTTCAGTAATTTTTGCATATTTTTTGTTAGAACCATTTTCCCCTATCTGCTAAAATAAAGTGGTGGGGGAAGGTTAGATCTATTTTTATTTAAACATTAATAACTCCAGACTGGATGAACGGAATCTAACAAACGGGGGCTCGTTTAAAAGAGCGTTTCTTACTCTATATTATAACGTATAAACAATAAAACTAAGCTTTTGAACGTAGACGCTAGGGGGCGCTGCCTTACAATTTAACAAAAATTACGCGTTTTTTGATATTTGATATCTTTTTTCAAACCAAAGTTATTAGCAAAATTATAATAAATACAAAAAAATAAGCCCTTAATTACCTTATCTTTCTAATACGGTATCCCTAGCCCTCTTGATTATGACCATTCTAATAAAAAATAAGATAGAAAAGATTTATTTCATTCAAAAAATCGACAATATACCAGAATACTAGGTGTATTAATATCTAATAATTAAGATATCATGACTAAGAAACGACGCCTCAGTGAATTCATGGTAGGCTTTGGAAAAAAAAGTTGCTTTTAAAGAGATAGTTTAAACTCAAAATATTTTTATATCAACAATTTGATAGTCTCAGCAGCGTTTTTTATCTTTTGATTGCTTTTCTAAAAATGCCTTTCTTCAAAAGAGAAAAAACGCTGCTAAGACTATCAAAATGTTGATTTAATAACTCTTTGACGTTTTAGTTTATACTATTATGTCAAAAGGATCTTTTTTCCAGAACCTACCATGATTTCACTGAGTCGTCGTTTCTTATTCACTGTCATTGATATCTTAATTATTAGATATTAATACATCTGGTATTATGGTATTCGATTTTAGAATAAACTAATCTATCTTATTCTATCTTATTTTTTATTAGAATGGTCATAACCAAGAGGGCTACTGCAACCGTGTTAAAAAAATAAGGTAATTAAGGGCCTATTTTTTTGTATTTATTATAATTTTGCTAATATCTTCGGTTTGAAAGAAGATATCAAGATGCGGTTTTCGCTGACTTTTTAAGCTTTTACTACCAGCTAAAACAGCACATACTATCGTATTTAATTTTTTTGAAAAAACGCGCAATGTTTGTTAAATTGTAAGACAGCGCCCCCTAGCGTCTACATTCAAAAGCTTATTATTATTGTTTATACGCATAGAGTAAGATACGCTCTTTTAAACGAGCCTCCGTTTGTTAGATTCCGTTCATCCAGTTTAGAGTTATTAATGTTTAAATAAAAATAGATTTAACCTTCCCCCACCACTTTATTTTAGCAGATAGGGGAAAACAGTTCTAACAAAAAATATGCAAAATTTACTGAAGATTATGAATCTATTATTTATAGTATCTGTTACCTAGACAAAATTGTGTAAAAACTCCTTTTTCTTATTTTTAATAGCAGTTGCGCCCTCTGTACAAACTTGAAAATAATTTCCAGCAATTTCTCATGCTCTTTTTAGTCATAAATATTTTTTTCCGCAAGCTCTACGACTAATACTTTCCGAGATACAACCGGGAGCTATTCTTAGTGGGACACCCTGTACGTATACTTATATTCCAACAGGGGGTCAACATTCAATATTCCGAGGGGTCTCTCACTTGGGTAGAAATGGACATGTACTGACAAAATATCATTTTACTGCCTGTGCCTGCCATATAATTGTAATCGACTGATGCCAGCGACTGCCAAGAAAATGTACATGTAATTCCAACAGTGAGACGGCCCTCGAAATATTCGGTAAAGCTCTTAATGAACAGGTTGTCTGAAAAAAACCCTGTATAAACTGATTATAACACAGGATAAAAGATTTTTTTTCACTGCATTACTTGGGAATCTTGGAATTACCGAGGATATAGAAGAATCTTATCTAATCGTAAATATAAAAATCGTAAATTCAACACAATTTAAGTTTATTTGCGATATACAATGTAAAATTACCCAAATCAGTTAATTTTTTACTAATGAATTGCTTCAATGTAATTTAACTAAATGCTATACGTATAGAGCTTTCAAGATCTAAGAAAATTATTAGAATTTTACAACACAATGTAATGGTCTAGATTTTTATGCCAATACTCCAAACTACAATAAAAAGGCGACGAGAACTGTAAGAATTTATTACAACAGCAATGTCTTACGCCTACTGTAACAGCGTTTTAATTTAAACTCAGGGAATTTTGCAAGATAACGGTTCAGTACCTTCATGTAAGTACACGGATGTGTGTAGTTTCCTTAGATATTGAAAATGTTGCACTTATACTATTTTAAAGCTTAAATATAGGTTAATTTTCAGATTTTAGTATGGCGTGTGACCTTGAACGTCTTATGAAGTATAATTAATTCAAGAACAAATGTGATATTTTCCGGGTATAGTTTGTACAACAATTGTTCAATGCTACGTCATATTACGTTATTTCAAAAGTTACTACACATTGGTAACTTTTATGTCACTTTTGAGGTTATGATTGATACTGAGCCGTGTCAAAATCAATTAAAAATCAACTATGGCGTCAAACAAAATTAAAATCCGTTCGTTTTTTCTAAAATGTTCCTAAAATTATAAATTCAAACATCACCAAAATGAATACAAACCAAATATAACTAGTTGATGTATTAACAAACGTGGAACGCGCCCTTTATATTATTTAATTTCAGAACGTACTTGTAATTTTCTGAACCACTGTGAACTGATCTCAGACTCACCCTAAATCAACGGTTATTAGATAAACAATGATGACGTAACGTTGGACGATGGATATACAGACAGATTTAATAAAAATTAATTTATATATACTTTAAGCCCTTATTTCTATAAGTAAACAAACGTCAAGGTAACAAACCAAAGGAAAATCTGACATATTTTTAGGGATTAAATTTCATTGAAGCTTATCTAACAATCTAACTTCCCATATGTATGATACTTTATAAGCTATAGAAGAACGAAGAGTTTCCTAGTCCTCCAAAGTGACGTTTTTGAATAGGTGAGACATAGATTCCTTATTGTGGATTCGGCGTATAGCCTCTGATAGCAGAATAGATATGTCGACGGTTTTGATTTTGTGACACTGCATCTTTTGTAGCTCGTGCGGTATTGTGTTGGTTACAACTACCTAAAACGTCAAAATTATTCTTTGGTATCCATTTTATTCAAGAAAAAAGTTTTAGATTTTAACATTATAACATTTTAAAGAACCAAAAAAAAAAAGAAATTATACAGGGTGGCGCACCTCATTCGCCTCGGTTGATTATACGAAAACGAAAAGATATAGAAACAAAAAATTTTATGGGTATATGTGGGAAGGCAATGTGCATCATTTAAAATTATTTTGAAATGTACAGGGTGAGTCAGAACTAAGATTCATACCAAAGTTATATTTTTTCTTATGGAACACCCGGTATTTTATTTCATTTTTGGATTCTTGGGCATAAAATAAGGAATTTATTATAAGGAATTAATATGTTCAAATGCTTTGGTTTTTGAGATATTTAAAGATATTTAAATATGCATGCTATAATAAACAAGTTTGTGAACACCCTGTACATTACTTTTCAGAGTTAATTCTTGTGCTGCCTTTGAAGCCACAGAAATAAACTTTACTAAAAAAAATTATTGCTCCCTTAAATGTATACAGGGGTACCAAAAATTATAACAGAAAAAATATAACTTTGGTATGAGTCTTAGTCTGACACACCCTGTACATTTCAAAATAATTTTAAATGATGCATATTGCCTTACCACATATACCGATAAAATATTTTGTTTCTACATCTTTCTGTTTTCCTATAATCAACCGAGGCTAATGAGGTGCGCCACCCTGTATATGCAATAAAAATAATTAAAACACATTATGATTACCTAAAATAATCAATTAGTTTGCATTATTTAAAAAAAACATGGCGTAAAATATTTATAGTTAGTTCCTTTCAAAATCAAATTTTAAATGTATAATTGAAATTGTTGTAAGAAAATATAGTAAAATGTCTGTGTATAAAGATATAACGTAACATACCTCATCAATTGGTGAATCTTCAATTAATCTTGGAGCATCGGAAGATAACAAACCGTGTGTGGCTAAGACATAAATTTTGTACGCCCCGCGCTCTTTCAATACTTCAGCTGCAGCAACAAACGACTGTACGTCATCGATAAGATCATCCTGAAATAATTTTAATATTGTTTATTTAACTTAAATTATTTATCCTTTTATTATTCAAATTTTGAAGTATTTTATTTGAATACTTTCAAATGCAATTAGAGTCAGATTTCAGTTTCTCCGAGTATGCTATGCTTAATTCATAGGATTATATCAAATGACTTAATCACCATTTAATCATGGTGCGATTTGGACCTCCTGAGTCTCAACATTTCTAAAACTAAAGCTTTGTCGTATAAAAACTCGCTGCAGCCTTTTTTACTTAGCAACACAACAATTGACGTCGTAAAATCTGTAAAATTCTTAGGGCTTGTTGTAGACAATTCTCTGAAATGGGACATGCATATCGACGCGTTGTCGAAAAAATTAAGCTCTGCCTGTTTTGCATTAAGATATGTTTCTAAGGAGCTTAACTTGTCAGTGGCTAGAACTGTTTATTATGCACTTTTTGTGTCGCACCTCAGGTATGCCCTTCCATTCTGGGGTACGTGTTGTGCGACTCAATTTGACCGCATTTTCAAGCTCCAGAAGAGAGCTGTTCGATATTCACTGAGACTAAACAGCAGAACTCATTGCCAGGACTTTTTTTAAAAATTAAAAATATTGACTCTTCCATCCTTATTTATATTTGAATCCGTTTGCCTAATATGTAAGCATGTATAAGCTTCTCAAGAAAGGCCATTTCACACTTATCCACTCAGAAAGGCGGAGCAAGATCTTTATCTACCTACCCCACGCTCAGAGTTAGTTAAAAGTTCAATATTATACAACTCGAAAAAAATGCACAATCACCTGCCATTTGAAATCAAATCCATAACATCATTTTCTTCATTTCGCAAAGCATTGAACTCTTATTTACTAGACAAGGCTTTCTACGCCGTAAATGAATTATATTTTGAAAATCGAATTTGATCTTGTAAACACTGGTCTAATGTTTGCTATTGCTATATTTACTAATGACATCGAAATAAATTTATTTAGAGGTCATTGATATTTATATTTACTATATACTAACTAAATATTTTTGAATATTATTTTTATTTTTTTGTTCATTTTACCTCATTGACTAATTGTATTTTTATTGACTTCTTTTTATTGATTTTTTTGTATTGTATTACACATAGAACATAATTTTAAGATTTTTCGTATATGAATTTGATGTCTGTAATTGGCTTAGGCTGTTGATGCTGTGGTTTAATAAATAAATAGTAATGCAAGCTAGAGGGATCCTATAAACCTGAAGGGAGACAAAGATTAAATCTGAGAAAAGTTGCACTTTGCTGATACTTTAATACTAGTACTACAAATAATTTTGATATCAGTAGTATTTTCAAAAACTTAAACTTACCACCATGATCGCAATTCTTCCTCCCACATCCCCAACAACGTTTATTGGCGGTTTTTCTTTGGCAATATGTATTGGTACTCCTACACCTGCGTCCATTGTTCGAGATCTGGGTACTGTAGGAGGCGAGTACCGTCCATCAACCTAATATTATTGAATATTTTTATATCTACACTTACATTAATTCTAATAACACATATTATTAGCAAATTAAAATATGAATTATTAACCTCATCAGATTCAGCTTCTTTCTGTTCACCATGTATAACAGCAATTCCCAAACGGAGACGTTCAGCATATGAAGTGGCTTTCTTTGCAGATCCTGGATTTCTGGCAACGATTACAGCATTACGATAATCTGGAATCTAAAAAATTAAAATAATATTAGATTATTACTAATCTATCCTTAGCGTAGACTTAAAATAAAATATAGACTGAGCATTCCATAATGACACTCATTCATAAATAGCTGGAAAATGCGGTCAGACAATGTTTTGTTATTGTTTTAGGTTCTAACGAGTGCGACACGAGCGATAGATAGGTTGTCTCCGTCGTAACGGTCGTTCCCTGACGACTCTGCCGCGAAATGCAACACTGTCTTTCGTTTCTCAGTACACCTGAACTCTCCGTATCATAGGCGGGTAATTTTTTTATTTTAATGAAGCTATAATTCAATTAAAAATATATCGTATTTAAACTTTCTTATATTATTAAGATTTAGGAGAGGGTTTTTAAATAAAAGCTTAGAAAAAAAAACCGTCTTAAAGTCCAACAGCGATAAAAATAATAAATGAAGCTATGAAATGAAGGTTGCTGTCATTTTAAATGTAAAATTATATGAGGACTGTCATCGATCGTCATTTCCAAGCCAACTGGATGCCGTTTTTTTCGATTATACGGTATAAGGGCTCAAACTCACTGACGACCAGGTCGCAACGACCTGGCCGTCGGCTGGCCGGATGTATTGTTTTTACCTGCGGCCAGATGAACGACCAGTTTCAACAGAGTTGTCAAATCTAACGATTTTTTACGTTTTACGTATTGTTTCAGAAATGTTAAAATATCCGAGTTAACTAAAAAGCGAAGTTGCTATTCACAACAAACAAAAAGTATTGTGTACGCGCGACCGACAAAAAGGGAGATATTCTGTTTCTTTTTTCTACTGATATGGTGCCCTTATCGACTTTAGAAGTAAACATATTAGGGCCATCGTAAAAAAAGATCGTCAGACACTGGCTCTAAATATAAGCAGGTAGAAAGTTTAGCTTCCAGTTATTTCAATGTTTACAATATAACGAAGAATCTACAACAGTAATTACTTCTATTTTTATGAATGTTTAAGTTACTTTCTTAATTTTTTTTTTTCAAAATAATGTACCTAGTAGAAATATAGTCTAAGGAACCCTGTTTGAAAAACGTTAAATTAAATACCTATAATATTTAAAATACAGTTGTCCTCCTTGTACATGACTACAATACAACTAAAAAACTAATTTAATAAAAAAAAAACAAGTGGTTGTAGAAAAATTTAAATATTTTTTTTATTTTTTAACATCGAAACTCAAAGGTATAATAACAGGTATCATACTAACCATAAATAGAGTAGATATGTCATATAAAAATGTTTTGAGTTTTTACTAGAATCGACCCTTGATAAAAAAGGGATTAGATTTAATTTTACCTTTGATCCAGTCTGTATACTATTTCTTTGGATTTTCTGCACGTGTGCAAAAACTACACTAAAACACTATATCTTATAGAAAATAAAATATTGTGCCTTGAATTTGAGGGATTTCATCTGAAAAATTATTAATTTGGAAGAAAACCGGCAACAAGCGGCAGAAAATAATAATATTTCCGTGCAGTCTTCTGGCCACAACGACCAACGGACGGCCAGGACGTTAGTGTGCGCTATATCATTTATTTAATGGTTTTAGAGGTAGCTGCGGCCTGGCCGGTGCGACCTGGTCGTCAGTGTGTTCGAGCCCTAATAACGGTGACTATACATTATTTAATGGCAAGATGCACCAAATGCGTACAAATATATTATAATGAATACTTTGGATAAAGATTAAGCAAGATGCCTATCAAAAAACTTAGGTAGAGCGCGATGGGGACCTGAAATGGCCGACTTATATTACGGTTTATCTCAGAAGAAATTTTATTCAAACCGTGTAAAAATATAATGTAGGGTAGACTCAACAATTTGTTGTTTTATTTTACGTTGGCAATAAATGTTAGTAGTACATAGTTATTAAAATTGTTATAAAAATAAGTAAGTTATAGATAATAATTATTTAATAAGACAAACATCAGATACGCTACTGAAGCAGGTAAGACAAATTGACATATCTTAATTATTTTTGACAAATAGTAAATGAAAGCGAAAATGCAAGAAAAAATATATATTAGTTAATTTTAAATAAATTTCATAAACGATCGGTTTACTACTAAATTTTAAAAACAAGGCACCTTATTACTGATCTAAAAATAAATAAGTATAAAGCTTTTTTAAGTAATATAAGTAATGTATGAAACAATAAAGTAATGTTAATATTATAAGTTCGTTAATATCATATCGATGGATATATTCTGATATAGCAAAATTAGATTTACTTAGAAGATTTTGGTAGCATTGTATTTTTTTGGACTTTCTCAATTTTTTGTTCATTTCATGTTTATATTTTATAATATATATTAAAAAATGTTGTTTCATAATGTAAAACTATTTCAAAATTTTTGTATGCTATTTTAAGGTGCGTATTCATTATCCGAACGAACGAACGAACGAATGAAAGTGCGGTATATTTAGACGGGGACCGAACGCATGCGGCCGTTCGTTCGTTCGTTCGCTCGACCATCCGTTTCGAGTCGGTACATCAAAGGCGTTCACCAACAAATGCCTCCGGTCTTCTCGTACGCTTCTATCGTACGGTCCCCGTCCATATCACTAGCGAACATTCGTTCGTTCGTGCGGATAATGAATACGCACCTTTAGATTCTGAAGATAGTTTTAGAATAAAGCGGAATAATATTTTTTATCTATGATGTATAATAACAGGGTTATAATTATGATTTTGTTACAAAAACCTTTATATAAATCATTATGTAATAGAAAAAATTCAAATTTTACATTTTACCAAAATATTATCTAAATAAGCGCCTTTCTACATCAACGCCACTGACTTCCAATTGGTAAATTGAGAATTACCTACCAGTCAAAAGTCGTTTCAAGACTTAAATGGATTATTTAAGCCAAATTTCTTGGAAATTTGGCACTGGCGAATCATATTTTATAGTTCTTGAATAGAAAAAGTAAATAAAATAAACACTTAAGGACTACAATACATGTTTGGTTAACAACTGACATATTCACCCTATTAACTTATTATTTTGCTGGATAAACTATACACAATTATTTAAAATAAACTTACACTTTCTTGAATATACTGCAACAAAAATGGACTGGCTCTCAAATTATCGACTGGGCAGTCAAAGAAGCCCTGAATCTCTTTTTGGTGCAAGTCCATGGTGATGATGTGTGTCATACCAGATTTCACCATCATTTGAGCCACTAGTTTGCAAACAACGCTACCACGCTTACGCATTTTACACTGTTTGCTGTAGGGAAGATATGGAATGACTCCGACAATGGATTTGGCTGATGAAGTTTTAAGGGCATAAGCCATTATGAGCATTTCCATAATGTTATTGTTAACATCCCTAAAAAATCGAAATTAAACAATACTCTTTAAAATTAAACTTTGTGTTACTTTGTCCCTGTTTGAATAATAAAAATATCCTTTCCTCTAACTGAGTCCCCTATCTGAAACATAGTCTCTCTATTACTCCTGTGATATATAGCACATTGGCCCATAGATACTCCCAAACGTCTAGCAATTAAATTGGTTAATTCAGGATGTGAATTACCCGCTATAATAATGATGTCAGATGTCTTTGGAGCGTCCATTTTACTTAGTTAACACTTCAAAATCTAAAACAGAGAAAAGGTATATTCAGAGATCTCTAAACAGCTAATAAAATATCAATAAATCAATTAAAATCAATGTAAAGTTATCACTGAAAACATATTTAACCTTGAGGTATCTTTTTTCAATATATTTGAATACTACAAATATTTAATTATAAATCAACGTTATGGGACTTTATTTAGCAGGGCACATGAGAAATAAACAGGAAATAAACAAACACCTCTGCACAAATATTAAGTATCAGAAACTTATAGAAAAGTAAAAATACTTATAATAGTGTAAACATAATTCTATATTATAGTTTACGTTGAACTATTAAAAGCACTTTAAAAGGAAATATATGACAATACAATCCAAACAGAATTTCTCAAATGCCTTGCGATTTTTTAAAATATTTTACCACAATATGCTTTCTCAAAGAAAACACTCTAGCTTATGGCATATACGTACAAGAGATAAGAGATTTCACATACCAAAACGTAAAATAACACAGTAGTACCGCTTTTAGGTACTGATACTTTAGCAAAAAGATAACAATTGTTTAAATAAACATATTATTTTGATTCATAATTCTGATTCTGACCATAGAAAACGGAAAACAAGTTTTTGACAAGTTTCTGATATTTAAGCTTTTACGACCATAGATAAAGGGTTAACGGTATGTTTTCAGTGGCTGACCATGAGTTGTGTGTTTGCTACAATCCGCAATTGCCCAAGTTGCCCATACGACGCATTCGTACCTTCTAGATGTTGCCAGTTTGTTTGTCTGTTTCTGTCTGTTTAAATCACGTTTAAATTTTCTTTAAATAGACCTAAGAAATAGACATACAATTTGGCAACATCTACAAGGTACGCATGTGTCATATAAATCTATGAGCAAGGGCAAGGGCTGCCAAAGTCAGTCACAATTTTTTTTATATGATCCAGAAAATGTACACAAATATGATATCGGTGTTTTATCTATGGATTGACATTTGTGGATTGACAATTATAACCTCAAAATTTGACAACGACAACTTCACTCTGAAGTTTGTTTTAGGTTTATTTATTTATAATTTTTACTTGAAATATATTATATTATTATTATGCCTAAAGTTCGAAGAAGCAAAAAAGCACCACCAGAAGGATGGGAGCTAATAGAACCAACCTTAGATGAGCTAGAACAGAAAATGAGAGAAGGTATATATATTCGTTTATGAAAAGATAAAAAGAAGGCATTTAACTTGGTATGTTTATTTAATTTAGCTGAAACTGAATCGCACGAGGGTAAACGAAAAAACGAGTCGTTATGGCCTATTTTCAAAATCCACCATCAGAAATCCAGATACATTTACGACCTGTTTTATAGAAGAAAGGCAATTTCCAGAGAACTGTACGAGTATTGTTTAAATGAAAATATAGCGGACAAGAACCTTATAGCGAAATGGAAAAAACAAGGATACGAAAACTTATGTTGTTTAAGGTGTATTCAAACGAGGGATACCAATTTTGGGACTAATTGCATTTGTCGAGTACCTAAGGGCAAATTAGAAGAGGTACATTTTCTTTGATAGTTTCTAATAATAATTGTTCTTTCGAATGTTGTATTAACTGTAATTTTATATATTTTCAGGGCAGAATAGTTGAATGTGTCCATTGTGGATGTCGAGGATGTTCAGGTTGAGGCCTGAGTTTTTTATATACAATACATATATTTTAAGATAAATAATGAATAAATTATTATATTTCATAATTATTAATAGATTTAGTTAATAAAATAAGACATTCTGTGACTAGCAATATTTTATTGTATTAGGCCTACAAAAGTAATCCTCCATTTTGACCTAAAACAAATTACTCTAAGAAAGTCATTTTCAAGTAATTGTTTCCTAATTTAATTTTGATTTATTTTAATTAAACAATAAAAAGTGATATTGAAACCAGTGCTTTTATTTAGGGGTATATATATTATATGTATTAAAATATATTTCACCTTTGAAATAGAAGGTTTCAAATTCACTATTTTATTTCTTTTAATTTTATACATTGTATAAGACACTTCAGATGTAAACAAAATATTAACTGAGAATATAATTTTTTGATTTCATATAAAATATTACCTGAAGTGTTTTATGTAAATAAATCATAAACATTCTAAGGTTTAAGCAGAGTAATATAATATAAATACATACAAGACACAAGAATTTTTAAAATGTTAATAACATAACAATGTAGATTTAATATTTATTTTTTTTATTATTGTTAAACCCTGCATTTCAAATATCTGAGCTTAAATCTTAGTCAAGCCATTTTTTCTTTTTAAATTAGTGCTTAATTTCCTTATCTATATAAATAACAGTGCTATATGACTAGTATAGGAACTAAATTATAGTGTATTTTGAAATTTTTAAATAGAACATCAATAAACAACAGAAAAAGTGCCATAGGTATAAATCTGAATTCCATTTTCTTAAGCCATACAAGATTTTTGATAGGTTAGTGAAAGTTACAAAAATACTATATCAAACCACTTTCTTATCGCTAAACACGCCATTAGGTATAGTTTTTCTCGCATAACTTTCCCAAATATGGCGCAATGTGTCAAATCAATCATTTTTTGTAAATAAAGCAGAACCAGAATGAATTTAAACTAAAAGAAAATATAATTACAATTAATTAAACAAGTTATATTTAAATTGAGATACGAGTCATGTCAAATATCGAAAAGAGAAAAAGTTATCAGATATAAAATATAATAAAGCCGATCAAATTTTTCTTTTTAAATTTTAATTTCAAAATTATTTCATATTACTTAATTCTGTTATATTTTTTTAATTAGTATTTTTTTAGCCAAAATCATATTCACGTGGAGAATATTTTTTTTAATGTTACACTCATAAATAATGTTACATTGATATAAAAACATTGTACCGTATGATCGAAAAAAAAACGGCGTCCAGTTTGCTTGGAAATGACGATCAATGACATTCCCCATATAATTTTACATATAAAATGACGGCGATCTTCATTTCGTAGACATCGCCGACGCCGTTTTTTTTTTCGATCATATTGTACCGTATGATCGAAAAAAAATGGCGTCCAGTTGGCTTGGAAATGACGATCGATGACGTTCCACATATAATTTTACATATAAGATGACAGCGATCTTCATTTCATAGCCATCGCTGACGCCGTTTTATTTTCGATCATATTGTATAATACTAATGAAAAACACTAGTAATAACTTATAAACAAATATATAACCATAAAAACACAGATCAGTTCTACATCAATTAAAAATAACTCTTTTATCATAAAATAACTAAAACGCCACTAAACATAAAAGTTAAAATTAACCTGAAAATAACTAATAAATTGTACAACAAAATCAATAACGATAAAACAACATCTTATGAAACAGAAAAACGAGTTTTTTGTCAATAATATAGAACTTAGGTGCTACAAACTTGAGTATTGTGTGTCACTAAACATATAAGTTAACAAAAATCTAAAAATAATAATAAATTATAATACTAATAAATGCCTTGATATTTGGAAAAAATAAATATATACCGGGTGCGTCTCAAAAGTGGCTCACCCCTAACTTTTTTATTTTTTCAGTTAAAAAAACGAGATTTGGTATGTTAGTATATGACATAAATTAGGATTGATTGACGTATTCAATTGTTTTTGGTCACTTTCTGTTTCACCGGAAATGACTACAACTTTTGTTTTTTAAATGGCACTCTCGGTATTTTTTTTAACTTTATTCAACAGAAAATAACACTCTGAATAGAATGACATATCATATGTCAACTTTTGACATTTTCGCATATGGTTTATTTGAAATTATAACTTGCAGTTTGTAACGAAAATTTGACACGAAATACCCAAGTGTGTGGTATCAAAAATTATTCGTAAAAAATTGAGATATGATTAAAAATACGATTTGAGCATTTTCTAACTTGCCAGGACAAGACACTAAAAACATTAGACGATCAAATCTATTTTTCCAAGGCTCCTTGATTAAGGATTAGTGTTTTTAACATAACCATGGCACTCTAGATTAAATTTTAAAATACAATTTTTTAGTAAGCGAGAATGTCAAAAGTTGACATATGATATGTCATTCTATTCAAAATGTCATTTTCTATCGAATAAAGTAAAAAAATACGGAGGGTGCCATTTAAAAATCAAAAGTTGTAGTAATTTCCGGCGAAACAGAAAGTGACCAAAAACAATTGAATACGTCAATCAATCCTAATTTATGTCATATACTGACATACCAAATCTCGTTTTTTTTTATCTGAAAAAATAAAAAAGTTATAGGGGGTGGGCCACTTTTGAGACGCACCCCGTATATGGTATATGTATAATATACATATAACAAAATAATATATTAATAAGTTTGCCCTTGTTTTTGAGATGGTATTAAGAAATATATAGTGTTTCTCACATAACTTTTCCTTGTGTCCACATTTGACGTGTCTGGTAACGCTATGATACAAAGGAAAAATACCTAAACAATGAATACAATATTTTTTTGAGATAAGCTCTGCGTTGCGGTTGAATATTCGTAAATTTAATTTTAATAGTTATTAAAAAATTTCAGTTTAATGCAAATAACTTACGACCTGTACAAAATATCAAAAACTTTTATAGAGAGATAACTTAACTAAATAAAGCAGAGCTGCAGAAAACTTAAATCTCTTTTTGATTTATATCACTTTAATGACTTAAGTATATATTTCTACCTTTACTCATAAACGAGAAACCCTGTAAAACTCACTAAAATGGGACACCCTGTACACACAGTTATATACACTGTCTAGGTATTTTCGATGTGAACTAAAGCGTTACTATGTGAAATGTTGAAACAAGGAAGTTTCAACAGAAGAGTTATATTTATTGGGTAAATAAACAAAAAAAAATCCCTTCATTAACCAGGTGCACTAGTAAAATAGTATAAAAATGTATTTGTTATATGGAAATTATTAATATTCCTTTAAAGATACCTTTCGTTTTTCTTACAATTCTTTACCAACAAAAAAATTTGATCAAAAAAACCTTAATCAATAATACTTTCAATTCCTACATAAAATTACATAACAACTGTTTGTTTAAGATAACCTTGTTTATAAAACTGTTTTACAAACAAAATATACCTACTGCCTTCATACAATCCTACAAAAAAATACAATAAAAACATCGAGTATACTTGAAATCCTTGCATTCATTATAGATTCCTTATTCGTTAGAAATTTGTACTATGCGAATGAAAATATAATAGGACAATATATTATTTAACCTTAAGTTTAGAAAATTGATTTTAATAAATCTTAATAATGAAAACAGAAACACTACCAGGCATAAAAATGTAAATGCGCTATTAAAACAACTGTATTCGTAATATAAATAGATCTATCTATTTTCTTTTATTAGAGAAAGACTAGGAATGTATAAACTTTTTTTATGATTAAATATAAAACATAACCTGCTTTCCATTTTAAATAACAAGATATAACTGTCGTGAAAAATCAGTATCTGTTGGATTTATAAAATATGCTTGAATAATATCACCACGATTTTTTTTAAAACATTTTTGGGGTTATTTATGATTATTTAATTAAATCTCACGAAGTAATTTCGCGCCGCACTTTTTTTTTTTGGACGCCAGCCATCGCTAGGAAATCACACCTTAACCGTTGATTGCAGAATTGGGAAGATACGCAACCCAATGGGCAAATTCGTGACAAGGCTGATTTGATTTCCCCTTACGTCTCAAGTGCTGTTCGGTGGGGCCACCACTCGTCCTGCGGCCAACTCAAAAAACACTCAATTTCTCTAATTCTCAGTGTTGCCATATTAAAATGTGTAATATCTGTAATACGTTTGATAATCCGCGTTTATATATGAACATTTATAGAGTTCTAGAGGAAGAGCTGGCTACATAAAAAACCTTACCATCGTTACATGGCTAATTTTTCTTGTGAAGTATCCTTTTGTGTAACCATTTTGAAATAGTCATGTCTGCCAGCTAGAGGTGTGTAGTTCGTGAACGAACTAGTTTCAATGAACTATTCCGACCCCGGAATGAAAGGAACTAGTTCCTGGTTTCTCAAAGAACTAGTTCCTCAGGACCTATTCCGGGATCGAGACTGTGACCGATATAGAATAATATGTGACGGATCGGCTAGCGCGCGTAGCCCGATGGTAGGCAGGAGTGGGGAGTGCCAGTCGTACGTTATCGGATCCGGACCTAGAGGAACTAAACTAAATAAAAGACTAGTTTACGTACGAACGAATCGGGCCAGCGCGGTCGATGCTAGGCCGGAGTGGGGTGTGTGATAGTACCAGCCTTATAATAAAAATATCCTTTCCTCTAACTGAGTCCCCTATCTGAAACATAGTCTCTCTATTACTCCTGTGATATATAGCACATTGGCCCATAGATACTCCCAAACGTCTAGCAATTAAATTGGTTAATTCAGGATGTGAATTACCCGCTATAATAATGATGTCAGATGTCTTTGGAGCGTCCATCTTACTTAGTTAACACTTCAAAATCTAAAACAGAAAAAAGGTACATTCAGAGATCTCTAAACAGCTAATAAAATATCAATAAATCAATTAAAATCAATGTAAAGTTATCACTGAAAACATATTTAACCTTGAGGTATCTTTTTTCAATATATTTGAATACTACAAATATTTAATTATAAATCAACGTTATGGGACTTTATTTAGCAAGGCACCTGAGAAATAAACAGGAAATAAACAAACACCTCTGCACGTATCAGAAACTTATAGAAAAGTAAAAATACTTATAAT